CGCCGTTTTAGAGTTCCCTGTACTTCTTTTGTTTTTTTCCTTATTGTTGCAAGTTACAAATTGAACTGCGTATCTGTATCTATGAAAAATTATTTCTAAATAGTTGTGTATGCGATTAGAACTAAGTGACCTTTTGGTAAGCAAATTTTCTTATTGGCCTGATTAAATTATTGAAACATACCTATCCTCTTATCTATATCTTATCTTTATTTATAAAAATTTCGTGTCACGTGTTTGTCCGCGATAGACTCATAAACTACTAAACCGATTTTAAATTTGATTTGCATTCCGTGTCCATTTTGATCCAACTTGAAAGATAGGATAGCTTACATCTTAATTTATAGTCACAATATTATTTACCTTGGCCACAGCAACTGTAGTCAGTAGAAGGTCCTTGTGAAAAAATATGTTATAATAGTACGGGGGAAAGTTGGGGCAAAACTACCCTTTCGTTGTTAGTTAGATAGTTAGACCCGAGCGAAGCGGGGAAGGGCCGCTAGTGTGTCATAAATATTACCTACATGCACAACATAGTCAGTTCAGCCAATCATCCAGTTAAAGTCACTATACTTTAGTTTGATCATGATAGACATCTACACAGTTCTTGATTATTCTGTAAATAAAATAATCTAGGTTTTTTTATCAGGGGAAAATCATCAGCTACTTGACTAACTTGACTAAAAAACCCCCGATCATTCTCCTCCCCAGGCCGAGGCCGCGGTGCCTCATTACGCATATCCGTAGGTATCAGAAATTTACTCTAGGTAATCTTTCAAAATGTCCAAATACACTACACTGCACGAAGGTGGTGGATCGGGTACTTAAGCAGAGTCTAATCTTACCAGTAAGTATATAAATTTATCCAATTTTAATATAGAAAAGTCTATCTTTACCTCAGCTATTACTATATATTTTATACAACATATTTTACCTTGTTTGTATAAAAATGAGGTGATTTGATTACTTTCTGTATTTCGCAATTGTTTATCGTCTCTTTACGCAGCGGATAATTAGGTACGGAACCAAACATACAAATAAATTTTCCGCCGTCTCAAATCTTACTCAAGAGTCGGGGGCTAAATTACAAATGGCGTCTTCCTCAGTTAATTGAATGTTCCTTGGATAAATCAGAATTAATATGCGCGCTCTGAAACCGGATTGGATTGTTATTGCTCTGTTAGCTCGGCTTTGATGCGTGTGAGTAATGGAACGCACGCGCGCTCGTATGTCGCGACCATAGCGATTGCCGCGCTTTTCTTTCTTTTTTTTTCTAAAAATACGTATCAGGTAGATTGTATTTTTTTCTAAATTGAGTTCTTATTTTGAATACACTGTCATATTTGTCTCCTTGTTATCGTTTGTTTGGGTGAACTGTTCGTTATAATCTGTTGTTAGGATTTATAACTTTTATATTAACAACAACGGCGTGTTTCTAAAATTTATTTTAACTAAACAGAAAGTTTCTATGACCTACTTTTGGAAAGGAAGTGGGCATATTTAGGAATCATCAAAACATAGTTAATATAAGTAATACCTATCGCTCAACAGATTAAAAGATCAATTGTAACGTTACTGCATGTAATTAGTAAATTCATATTATTCGAAAATAGTTATCAGCTCCCTACTGGATCCCGTGGAGGTAATTTGTCACATACACGCAACCAGACGCGTCACGGGCCCAAATGATTTATCGTCGTCCGAACAGACAAAGACTTCTCCAAATAGGTCCCCTCGTAAAGCAAACACTCAATTTAAAGGTAATTACTATAGGAAAATAACCCCTAAAGAGTACGTGCAAAAAGATTATTTTCCCGGCAAAAATTTCGGCGTAAGTCGACTGTCAACGGGTGCGGATGTGTTCGGATACATTCCTCAACTAATTGTATGTATCGCGGCGCACAAAACACATTAGTCAATTGTCGCCCTCCTCCCTTGTACCGGGACATAATTAGTTAGTCAACTATTTCTGGAACGCTTTGACGGCTTATTAAGATTTCAAATTGAACACAAATTAGACGTCATGCCGCCATGATTACTAACCTATGATTTGTTCTCGGTCGGGACATTGAAAAATTCGTGCGTCGACGCGTCGACAGTCTCATTTTCCGGACATCAAAAAGCTATCTTTTAAACGGGATTTGTTGATTGTCGGGGATTAAAAATAGATAATTGTTGTGTCAAATACAAACATGCTGTTATCCAAATATGTCAACCAGTTCTTTTAAGCTAGTAGGTACAAATTTGTTCAACAAATAGGTGTGTATGTATGGAGTTTACAAAAAATGTGATCGGTAAGGTGATTAAGGAATTCGAAATTTAAATTAACGCTTTTTACTTGCCAGGGTTACTAGTATTAATAACGAATGAAATTACCGAATGCCTTACATACTATCTTCTTTTAAGACAAGGTAAATTCAAAGGCATCAATGGACAACGGACTTTTTGATTCTTCTTCTGGTTTCTTCTTTCTCCACGACAAATTTACCTATCGTTTCTATAACATGGAACAGAGCACACGCTTGAAGTTCTTAGCTAGAAAACATATTGATATGGACACTTCAATCAAATATATACAGGGACTTAAAAATTGGTGAGCACATTGAGACTCATAGAAGACGTTGACACCATAGGTACTTAGTGATTTCTAGTGAATCTTGTGATATGCCATTTGATTTTAAATTGCACTTGCACAACCTAGGAAGGGGCATCGAGGTACTTAGTCTACTTAAAATTTATTCAAGCTCCCGATGCTCTTATAAGCGTAGATGGTGGTCTTGGTGAGGTGAGCCCCCAAACTCTAACGGTCTTTCTACTCAAAATCTAGAATCTTATCTAGGTGTACCAAGGTTGACATACCTACACATTCATGTGTAGCATGTGACTAGGGATAATTGCTCTATATGCGTATTCGTAGAATCAGAAACGTTATGTTAATCAATCTTAATGACTTTTTTCACAAAATAAATGTCATGTTTACCCAACACAAACACATGTTTCACCTATCCAAACCTAATTAAAATACAATAATCTTTTTAAATTGAGCCAATGTTGCCACATGTATAAATATCACCCAACTAATCAGGGAACGTCATTGATCGATTCAACTCGATTCTCGATTCCCAAGCAGTGCCATCTGTGTACAAACGAAAGATCTCTCGGTGACAAGCGTACAAATCGATTCGATGCATCGACTTTTTGTAGAAACACTCGATTGTTGTGAAAACGAATCGATTAATTTGTGTTCAAGATGGAACGAAGTATTCGATTTTTCATTCGATACTTATTTTTTCTGATGAAAACAATGTATTGCTTCGAATTGGTTTAAATTAGTTTAATTTAGGTGGTAATCGAGTGATCGAGGAATGTTTTTCAAATTGCAAGCTCTATTTAATTTGATTTTTGTCTTATTTTAAATGCATTTTCGAACATTTCTGAGAATAGTAACGATAAATTATAATACATATAATTACAAAACGTTTTTTATGTGATTGGTCGGCAAACAAGCACACGCATTACCTGATGGTAAGAAATTAGCGCCGCCCATGGACACCCGCAACAACAGACGCCAGCAGATCCCTAAGACCTTTTAGGGATTAGGGATTTGGAGATTTAGGGATTACAAAATTTCCTCAGGTAACCTCACTCAGACGCCGAAACACACACAACGCTATGGTTGTTTCACCCGGTTTTCTTGAGGCCGTGTGAATCAGTCTGGTCTAGCCGACCCATTCGTGCCGAAGCATAGGTCTTCCACATTTAGTTAATTATCTCCATGATTTATTTTTCATCAGGTACATGTTATATATGTAAACAGGTAAAATTTGTAAATTTGTGTGTGACCACTGACATATAATGGGAGTAATTTCGGAATCTCTCTGGTCATATTTCCCAAATTCTTTCACTGATAGATAGCTACAATGTTCCTAGGTGCTATAGGTTATAAATAAATTATACTTGATTTGTGTATTTTGTAGACTACTGTTTTTAAAACAAAACCCCAGTAATATTACTCTTATACGTGTCCGAAGGCGTGGGCGGAAGCTGTGTTTATAAAAAAATCGTAAATGACTAGCTAGTACCCATATCAATTAAACACATGTATACATATTAGAACTTTACCAATGAAATTGCCGTTCTGCAGCACTGGCCATTTCAAAACAAAATAGTTTTTGTTAAGGCTAAGAATTCTAATTTCAAATTAATTTTGTTTTAAAAACATCGGATTCTTTTTTTTATTCTTTAATTTTTCCTATTATCTATCGACTCAACTAAGTTTCTTTCTTACAGGCCATGTTGGTACCAGGTACAGTTGGGAATGCTCTCGTAAATTAGATACGTTAACTAATAACTAAATGACGAAAGAAGATAGAGAAAAAAGTTTAGTTTGACGATAGGTACCTACTTAACAAAATTCACCTTCTAAGTATTTCTAGATCGCAGTGTTGAGGTTCTCAGGTGATAGTACTTATGATCTGTAAAAAAAATCGACTTTTGAATGAATTTGATATGTGTACAATAAAGTTAGACCCGAAGTACAGTGAAGTTCTACTTTAAAATATTGCATCAACCAGACACATACTACATACCACATACAACAAATTACATTCGGTGCGGCCCTATCCTTTTTTTCCAAATCCGATTCCTTTACACGGACACCGCAACGAATCCGAACTCCGGCCCATCAATTAGTGAATACTCTCACAACACACCTATCGCTTCCCGATTTTTTTCAAAAACATACGGCTTAAATCCGGCTCGAAACAAAACTAGGAAGAAATGGGAAAACGTTTGCTGGAGGTGGCGAAAAAAATAATAAAAAACTAACCATAGACACTCCGGAAATCGTTATACCGCCGTTTTGATTGCGAACGCTTGTGATCCGTTCGATTTGATTGAAAAAAAAACCTCCTTTTTGTCTATGGATGTGAGGAAGTGAAGAGAGCTCTGATTAATCAATGCAATGGATGTTTGTTTATTTAAATGTTGTACTCTTTGTTCAGCCGGGGTTGCGGGGTAAGCGCAATGAGGCACCGCGACCTCGGCCCAGAGCAGGAGAAGGAACAGGGGGGTTTTTAGTCAGTAAGAGTCTGAAACTCCTCCGAGAAGTCATCCCCTCACAAAAAAAAACTCTTTATCTTGTATGTAGGTAGGTAGGTTTGTTACATTATTTGTTTTAAACGTAGTATAAACTATAAACATACGTCATTTCTTTTGTTCATATGAAAGTGTTTCCTATAGGTAAAAAAATGAGATACGTAAATTTTTTTGGCCCACATTAACGTTTTCTCCTGTGTTGTGAGTACGTTTACAAACATAATATTTCACATACCCATCACTTCCAGACCCGGAACAACAAATTGTAGATCACACAAAAAAATGTTCCGTGCGAGAATCGAAGACTCGACACGTTGCATGGCAGACGGTTCCCCAGCCACCGAATCAACCGTGCAGTCGTATAGTCTTAAAACTCTTGACGCCCTTCTTTATTTAAATTTAAATCAAGAATTGACTTACAGTTTTTCACATCTTTCTTCAATTAAATACTGAAACATAATATCCAATGTACGATTCAAATATAGTGCATCAAACTTCAACAAATTAATAAATACCAAAAATTACAGTAAATAAGTTCGAGACCATTGAATGTGCTATTAGCGCTCATAGCGACATCTGTACGGCTATAAACAAAAACGTGAGACATGACGAGCCCATTCGAATGGTTGTCAGTTTGCGACGACCCTAACTAAACTGAACATTTATTCAACTATAATTTAATAGATGGCACTGCTATCGCGTAGCTAGACTTTCAAAGTTAGTGTTTGTAAAAATACGTAAAAATATGATTATGCCCAGCTACCAATAGTACCAGCTATCAAAATCGTGGTGCCCCAGTTAGTAAAAATCAGTAAAAAAAATTTGACTGTGAATGTTTCGGGTAATCTTCAAACCCGTTGGGCAGAATTCGAAAGCTTTTCTCAAGCTTTATTAAGTCTGGGTACGCTTAGATTATTTATGTTGTTTTGTCTCTACCCAATAAAATAAAATAAAATATTGACTTCAATTAGTTAGCTATGCTTAATATTTAAGTTACCTACATCTTAATAAGAAGTTAGGCTCCTAATAAAATTTCTAATTATGTAATTGCAAATTATATTATATAAAATATATATAAAAGTCGCCATATTTAAAAATGGTTGCCGCATGGCTGGAAAATTCGCGCGCTTTAAAGACAAGATGGCAGCGACTAATTGGGCTCAGCTTACATCGTCAGCCTATCAGGTTAACATTGGGGATTTTGTAAAATATAATTAGCCAAACGATCACAAAGAACAAGGTTTAAAAATTACAGTCATTTTTTAAGTGATAAGTCGACAAACGAGTTGACATCTGCAACACCAGAGAAGTGACGAGTGCATGGCAGGCCTTTTGGGGATAAAGTTTTCGAAGGATTTGGGATTGGGGGAGGGGAAGCATGGGGATAGGGATGTTTGTAAACACACCCATGACCCAGGAGAAAATCCTACTGTTTAGCAACGTTATTATATAATTACTGTTCTCAATTTAATTTAATTCTACATCGTTTTAAATCACGATGTTTAAATAAAGACCAAAGCTGCAACTAAATCCCATTACAAGTTACCATAGTCAGACAGTACTGCAAAAATTAATACAATTAAACAGGTTTTATGAATTAATAACGTTTATCAAATGAAACAGAATAATGCATCACGATCTAATGTTTTATTGAGAAGTATGTTAATTAGAAATATACATACTTACATATAACCTCACCCTTTATTATTTGAGTGGTTAAATAGAAGCGTACATATTAAAGAAACTCCTTACACATTTCTCCAAGTACCTAATGTTACTAAACTCTACTGTTACTAAAACTAGCTCCATAGAAAAAATAACGATAATTCATTGTCATTGTCGAAGACAATCCCAAAATCTGACAGACTCTTTCCAGAGTTCAATAGATAATTAAATTTCATCATTCATTAGATAATTAATAGAATATTTATCACACGCCATTTCTTATAGCCTGTACAACCTAGCTTCACTGACAAACAGACTGACAGAATACTAAAAGTCTCTCTATTTATGGTTAAAGTTGGGATAAATTATTTTGACTGTGACTTTGACAACATACTACCCTAAAACTCAAATGAACAGAACGCGCGAATTTTATTTAGCTCTATAGCGTCATACATACCTACAGTCTATGGCATAACCACCACACCTCACATTACCAGATTACCTTTACCGTACCTCCTTGAAGAACCAGATTACCGTTACCATACCTCCGTGAACAACAAACCAATACCTTCGTTTTTGACTTTCTGTTTCTCGTAACTCGTAAGGTAATTTGGTAATGTTTTTTTTTGTGAGGGGAAAATCATCAAATGACTTCTCCCGCCCAGGATCGGGCGGGAGGGAGTGTCAGACTCTTACTGACTAAAAACCCCCCTGTTCCTTCTCCTGCTCTGGGCCGAGGTCGCGGTACCTCATTGCGCTTACCCCGCAACCCCGGCTGAAAATCTGGTAATGTGATTTGTGGTGGTTATGCCATAGACTGTAGGTACTATGTATGACGCTATAGCTCTATGGACAAGTTCTAAACCTATTTGTTGTCTAGCTTCGGCAAAAAGCATAGGTCGACCACAGTAATAAATTTTTAGTTATTAAACGAGTAATTCCTTAGCAAAATTTCATGATGAACAGTACTAGATGTGTTTACAGCTCACTTTGTTTACCTCTCAATAATAAATGGCGCCATTTTATAGCTAGTAAAACCCTTCCATTCTAAAATTAGACAGGTACTAATTCTTCGTTTAACTTTATCCTTGATATTGATTGTATAAATCCTTTTCTGGTTCCTAAATAATAAAAACCAGTCTTATGTTGTTAGACATAAAGTTTAATTTTATTTGTGTTGCAGTCGTGACAGTAATGTGCCATAGATAAGGTCTAGTGATCTCCGTAATTGTTTTTTTTTTATTTAAATTGATTAAGTATTGTTTTACTCTGCCTATTGCGAGCTTGTTGTAGTAGCAACTGTGCCAACTTGTTAGTGTAAACTGTAAAAGTAATTTTGGGTGAAGAATTTGTGATATAAAAATATCACAAAAAATTGAAAAATTTTGTCCTTTACAAATAGGTAGTTACTGAGTAGTAGTCAGTAACAGTTAATCTCCAAAAAGATATTTATGGGTTAAAATTATCCAAAGAGTTTTTCCTGGCTTTTATTTACGTTTTTTTTTGTGTAATAAGTCGGCAAACGAGCAGACGGATTACCTGATGGTAAGCAATCAACGCCGCCCATGTACACCCGCAACGGAGGAGTTACGAGTGCGTTGCCGACCTTTTAGGGATTAGAGATTTGGAAATTTAGGGATTGGGGAAGGGTCCGGGAAGGGGAAGGATTAGGCCTCCGGGAACCTCACTCACACGACGAAACACAACGCTATGGTTGTTTCACGCCGGTTTTCTGTGAGGCCGTGGTATCACTCCGGTCGAGCCGACCCATTCGTGCCGAAGCATGGCTCTCCCACACTTAGCTTGGGAGTAGTCAGACTCCAATTGTTTCCTTATGTAATAAAATTGAAGATATACTTCACTAGCTGATGGAATGTGACACAAACAAAGAGGAGAGAGAATCATTAATTGGAGAGTTTAAACTTAATTTTCTAGACGTAGAGTTAGTTCATACAGTTTTAACCCAGCAAGTCCTAAATCACAAATAGCAAAAAGGTTAATTAATTTAACAAAGATATCTAATTCATGATCGTTTCTCACTCAAATCAGTTACATAAGTTAGTGTAGTAAGAACGAGGAAGGTATGATAGAGTTGGCGTATCCATGTGGATAAAAACCTTAAACCAATAAATTGAAAAAAAAAATGTTTGCCTCGCCTCACCCAAGGCCAGAGAAGTCATTTGATATTGAGCCCCCTCAAAAAAGCATTGGTTGAGTCTCGAGAGTCGAGGATGTGGATTAGACGAAGAAGGCTTTAGAAGTAAAAGTTTGACCAGAAGATTGAGCTTAATCCTTTAGATCAGTTACCGTAATTAGGAAACAGTACCTAAGGTCTCACCTGAAACTTTCTGATAAGCTTCCGAGAGAAGCACAATGATTGAAATTACATGTTGGCTCAAATCTCCTTGGTCTTCCTCAAGATCTCGATCTGGATCTCGGACGACCAGTTTTCAGCTTGGCGCCAAACTCTATAAGTTTTTCGAAAAGTTTTTCGACAATTTATGTTCTGTGCAACTTGACCTACCTTTTTTTGTCAAGCGAAAATCATCAAATATTTTTTCCCGCCCAGGGTAAGGTGAAAGAGAGTGTCACTCTTGCTGACTAAAAACCCCCCGTTCCTTCTACTGCCCTGGGCCGAGGCCGCGGTGACCTACTTAACACATCAATCAGGTCGGAAATCTACACTTACAAAGGCACAGCGAACCTGCCAATTCTGTAAAAACATTTAAAAGTGATTTAGCGCTAATAACTACTTAAAAAAAGCTTGGATAAGTACTTTCTAAAACAAAACACTAATCGTCTGTATCAGCTCGACCTTCATCTTAACCTTACGGAATAACCACTATCACACTATCACTGAATTAAAAGACAATTAACTTGCAGATATTTTTTCTCTTACAAAAAAATGTGAAGGGAATCGGCTTATTGAGTAATTGGTATATCACATTAAATCGATATGGCTGACTGCTAAGACGTCTGTGTCAATTCTAAATTAAAAAATAAAACTTTATTGTATTTGTGTATTTTAAAAAGTGAATCTTTTTATCTTTGTTATTTCGGAAAAGGAAAGTGAAGGGACGTTCGATATTTAAAAAGTGTAGTATGTTCGATAATTTGAAGGAGCATTTAAAAATAAAATGGCGCCAATATTTAGCGGCATCGTTAGGTAAGTTCGATAGGGTAATTACTTTTATATAATAAAAGAAAGGTATCAATGGTTTATTTTAGTACATATCTACGTTAAAAATAATGATGAAATTCTTCTATGAAGGTTCTAGAAGAATTTCATCATCCGTTAAACGCCGTTAAATTCTGTTAAACGCCGGCTCAAAATAAGTCGGCGTTTAACAGAAAAGCTCTCAATAAAAACTTAACTTATTTCTAGATCTTAAGGTTTTAAAACGTATAGGCGCTAGGTATCAGAAAATTCCATAACAGTGAATACTAAATAACACAGCTGCGGAATGCGGACTTTAGATTGAATCTATATGTATAGCTAAAAGCATAAAGTACTGATAATAGGTATCTAGATAATTATATCAAGAATAAGGTTATTAAGTGTAGAACAACCATGTTTTGACTCGAATGCAGTTATATTAAGCCTCACAAAAAGTGGCGTGAATCCAAAAAATAATCGGCTCTAAAGGAGATGGCGAAACGAACTTGAAGACCATTACAAGGTTTGCTGACAAAAGGTTTTGCACGGAGAGGAGTAAAAGAAGGGTAGGCCTATTGACCAACAGTCGGATGATGACTAAAAATAAATATTATCCTTAAAGAAAATTTAATTAAGTGTGGGAGAGCCATGATTCGGCACGATTGGGTCCGCTCGATCGGAGTAATGCCATGGCCTCACAGAAAACCGGCGTGAAACAACCACACAGCGTTGTGTTTCGCCGTGTGAGTGAGGTTACCGGAGGCCCAATCCTTTCCCTCCCCCAATACCTATATCTCCAAATCCCTAATTCCTAAAACGTCAGCAACGCACTCGTAACTCCTCCGTTGTTGCGCGTGTCCATAGGCAGCTGATTGCTTACTATCAGGGAATCCGTAGGTATGCTCGTTCGCCGAACAATCACATAAAAAAAAAATTATTGACAATAGAACAAAACTTCAGAATGATCTTTAGGCTGCGGCATTTCCGAATCGATACGAACTTCAAACCTTCAAAGAAAGGTGCATAGTCCTTTTTTAAAGGAGTTGGCAACGCGCCTGTGACTCCTCTGGTGTTGCAGAGGCGGCGCTGATCACTTACCATCAGGTGTTCCGATGATCGTATTATGCCTCCGATTTCAATAAAAAAATTGACTTGGCTCTACAATTGTTGTTACATCGCTTATAGTATCAATCTGGCCTGTTTGACTGTTGTACTTCCTTAGATGCGCAAAAAATATGTTTAATTAAATGTTTATAATACATTGGACATTACTTAGCAATACATATATAAGTATATTGATGTAAGTATACAAAGGACACGCGCTCGGCAGCCTTGTAAATAATTATTGTAATCTAAACAACTACCTGTATTACAATTAAACAGCGGTTCTCAAGTATTTTACCAACAACTCAGTTTGTTTTTAATGAATAGGTCAAAAATAACTGGAACGATGTAGAAAAATGAAATGAAAAAATAAATTCACCATTCGACAGGTTCTTTGTCTATCCAGTAACAAAGGCTAAATTGTCTTTTGTAAAAAATAGAGTTCCGTAAGACATTTTGGGGTTTGTACGCAAGGTGTTAAAAACCAACCAGAAAACTTGCGCGCACGAAGTCGCGGGCAGAAGCTAATTGTAAACAAAAGAAAATCTTCTGACCACACAGGCAAAGCCATGTATAAGAACTTGTATCTTCACCTTATAAGCAAATACAGTTTCGACTCAGAGAAAAAACACACAATAAATAATGGTGTGAGATAAAAATATAGAGCATTTACTTAATCGATCACAATTTTATTAAAAATAGATGTTAAACCTTCTTGGCAATTACTAAACAAATTGAAAAATCTTATAAGGTAAGGTTTAGGTGGTTGCTCGATTGCTCGTCTTGTTTCGAACCAGGACCGAAGCACATTATAATGTAAGTCTTTATCAATTACGGGACCACAGGATCCCGGTCAATTGGAAGGCGTAGTTGGCCGGAGCCAACTGCGCAGAGGCCTTTTAGACAACTTTAATCTAAATGAAATGGGACACAAAGCGGCTACTATCCCTGTATGCACTATGGAAATGCACCCAAGGACAGTCCTCGGTTAGTGTGGGACTATTGCGGATAGCGGAAACAAAGTACAAGGCTATAGGTGTGGGTTGTTATGGACAAGTATGATGGGAACTACGAAAGGACTATGGCACCTGCCGAAACAATGTAATAAAAATACACGTAAAAATGACAGGTGGAGACTCGCCAACTCACCGACATAATAAAATACTTATTGTATCGATAAAATTAAATGGTACCTAAAAATATGTTTTACACCGAGATATAGCTGCTTAATATAAGTGATTTTATAAATAGTTTGAGAATCGCTGCAATCGTGACAAGCAACGTTAGGTTAAGTGGGAAGTATTCCATTATAATAGTAGCTAACTTCAACCAATGCTGCAAATAAATCACAATTACATCAGCTCCCCTTAACTAATAGTAGTATGGCTTTGGAAACGAGACAAATAAACGGGAATTCATTACGCGATACGCGATTCATACGAGACTCGATCGCAACCTTGTAACTTAGCGCGTCTTTTTATATGGTAGGTCGGCAAACGAGCAGACGGATTACCTGATGGTTAGCAATCAGCAACAAAAAAACATTGTAATGCATTTGTAGTAATCGGCCTCTCATGGCATATTACGGATTTAAAGATAGGGTACTTGATCGACTGGACTTGATGGGGGGGGGGGGGATTTTGACTTGGTGTGAATGAGGGGGAGGAGGAGGAAAAAACAACCTGTGGATGACACAAGGCGTTGTTTTGAGCGGGAATCGAACTCCCTACACAGTAGTCGGTTGTACACCTATAATATACATTTATCGGGAACTTATACGAAGGTAGTGAAATAGGCGCTCACCTCTAAGATCCGTGACGGGGCCCTAAAGGGCTGATGTTCAGCCGGGGTTGCGGGGTAAGCGCAATGAGGCACTGCGACCTCGGCCCAGAGCAGGAGAAGGAACGGGAGGTTTTTAGTCAGTAAGAGTCTGACACTCCCTCCCGTCCGGCCCTGGGCGGGAGAAGTTATTTGATGATTTTCCCCTCACAAAAAAACCCCTAAGTTCCGTAAATTATTTCTAAATTAAATATTTTTGCCTTTGTTTGCAGCAAGCTACGGGAGTCTGTGTACGGGAATGTCGATGGGCTGGACGTCGCCCGTGCTGCCGCAGCTGCAGCGGCTGGAAAGCTCCCCGCTGCCGCAGGTGCCTACACTGCAGCAGGAGTCATGGGTAGCCTCGCTTCTAGTGCTCGGAGGACTTTTGGGTATGTGACTTTATTCATTCGCAGGGGAGTTTGCTCGGGTCTGCGGACGGCGAGTAAGGCTAGTTCAGACCCCTGCGTACGTCGCGTACCCTTTCGCGCGCGCCTCATAGAGTGAATAGAGTTATACTGATGCCCAATTAGTGATGATGTGCAGCCCCGCTTGCATCCGCTCTACATACGGTTCAAGATGAAGATTATTTCGGTTCTGCGCTGATCCAAAGATTTTCCCCTGTGCCATGGATGCGTTTACATACATAAAAATTCACATACACATCACGCCCTATTTTTGTGAGGCCAAAATCAGAGAGCGAGAGAGAGTGTCAGACTCTTGCTGACAAAAAACCGCCCGTTCCTTCTCCTGCTCTAGGCTGAGGCCGCGGTGCTTTACTGGGCTTGTCCCGCAACCTCGTCTGTGGTGGTCTATTAGGTCTTTGAGCGCTACCCGCCGTTCTCTCGGGTCTGGAGCTGGTTGGGCGGTGGCCTAGCCTTACTCGCCGTCTGTAGACCCGCAACACTTAGGCTCTGAAGCATAATGTGTGACGAACACAAAGAGTTGTCGCGCGTTGTACAGCAGTCAGTCACTCTGCAACATAATAATATTACAGGTCCTCTAATAACCGTGCCGCTGTCCCGGCACGTGGGTCGGCGGTGGATAATCATGGGGTCAAACATACCCCTGCTGCTGGGGTGGCTGCTGGCCGGCGTCACCACTAACCTGGAGACAATGTACGTGGCGCGAGTCATGTGGGGCTGCGCCACGGGTATGATGTTCGCCACTGTGCCCATTTATATCGGGGAGATTGCTGAGGTGAGATACAATACAATATCATTTCATATATTCCAATGAATTTCAATTCTTCTTTAACGTCTAAATAAAAAGCGCTTTGTCATCAAAATTATGGCTGTCTCCTTTTCTTTTATAATTCAGGAAAATCATTTCTACAGTATCCTAGGAAACCTACAGTCAGAATTTTAGCTGACGATGACTGTGCCTGGGAATACGTTGTAACTCCTTAAATTATTTATTGTGCATGCATACCATACCTAACTTCAATGTATCGCCAGTTACGTAATCAAACATATTATAATAGGCACCAAAGCTACAAAAAGAAATAACTGAATTCGCTCCATTGATGATATAAATATAAGTATCACAGAGCCAAGCTTCGGCACGACGTGTCGGCTCGAACGGAGTGATACCGACATCCTCATAGAAAACCAGCGTGACACACCTTCAGCGTTGTGTTTCGCCGTGTGCGTGAGCTTACCTGAGACTTAATCTGTTTCTCTCCCGCCATCTCTTCCCAATTCCTAAATATCTCCTTATCTAGTAACTCCTTTAGTGTTGCGGGTGTCCTTTGGCGGCTTTGATAACTAAATATCAACTGCCATCAATTAATCCGTCTGCTCATTGGCCATCTTATTCTAAGTATAAAAAGTCTCCAAATTTGCATCATTGACACTTTGCTAGGTGCCTACGGACTACGCCTGGATTCTCATATAGGTACAATGAGTGGCGTATTTATACCTTACTCTTTTACCATACGCTAGATAAATCTGCAAGATTACCATCCTTATTTTAGGACAAAATCCGAGGAGCTCTCAGCGCTTTCTTCCTGCTGTTCATCAACGTTGGCTTCCTACTGGCGTACGCTATAGGCCCGTTCACCTCCTACTGGGGGCTGACGGCCACTGGTGGTATACTGTCATTGCTGTACGTACCCTGCACTTGGTACATACCTGAAACTCCATTCTACTTGGTTTATAAAGGTAAGAATTTATATCGTCTGTGTTTAAAGCAATTTTTTTACAAAATAAGGCCTTGCCCCACACTAGGACTTTCTTTTGCGTCGTGAGTGCGGTTACAAACATACAATTTCACATATACATAACACACAGACCCGGAAAAACAATTTGTGGATCACACAAAGAGTTGTTCCGTGCGGGAATCGAACCCGCGACACGTTGCAGGATAGCCAGTTGCCCAGCCACCGCACCAACCGTGCAGTCGTTATTTGAAGACAACATGTGTGAGATTCTTAATTCCTAAATTTATTTGAGTTTAGGGTCGTTAACTTATTAAGGTTGGTGCAAGAGATTATGGTATCCCTATGATAACTAACAGGCATAACAATCGTCCTTTATGTTGGTCGAAGAAAAAGAAAATTCCTCTGATGTTGCGTATAATGATAATGATGGTGATGTAGTTTAACATATCACCTTACGTTTTTTCCTCAGAAAGAAAAGAAGATCTTGAATATTTTTCCAATTTTGTTATAAAATTAATAAGGGGCAAGAATTGACTCTCCGTGGCTAACAAACGTCAAGCCTACCAAGGTATACAAATTATAATTTTCCGCGTTAATACCCGCGTAAATATAATGTTGTTAAAAAACGACGAAATTCTAATACTCTTAACTGTATTCTCTCAATCTGGGTGGGGCGAGGGAAAGTGTCAGGCTGGAGTTGCGGTATATTACTGCGCTTGACCCGTAACCTCAGATAAAACCGTTTTGGAAATAAAACCTGGAAACGCATGCGTCACAAGTTATCTTAAGGCACTTATTAATATTATAAACTTTCTTTATCAAAGGAAAAATGGAAGAAGCATCGTCAATACTGCAATCTCTTCGTGGAACATCCAAAGAGGCTGTTCAAGCTGAGTTGGAAGGGTTACAAACGGTCGTGACGCGGGAGTACAAGGAACCACCTAAGATAAAAGACCTCTGGGCTTCTAAGGGCAATGTTAAGGCTTTAGGTAAGTTCAGAACTTTCACAGGGATCAGAGAATAAGGCCTTCCGTTATATTATGAGACTTTGTAAAAAAGGTAAATTAAATTTTTCTAAAGTTATTAATTATTGATCTGCTATAGTTATTTCTTATCTGACTAGGTACTCCGACAAAAATATTGACCTCAAAGTCACAGTCTTTTTAAGGTTCATTAAAATTGTAATGGTCTTTTGAGGAAGGTGTGTTCTTTCTAACTATTGTGTGGTCATGCAGCAACATTCTTGCTGTTCTTTTTTAGAGTTTTCAGGGAATAAAGCCTTTGGCTTCAATACGAAAATTGTGAACCTAAAAATAGTATATAATACTTTTCTCGAATCGTCAAAATCTTCAGTCTACTATGGTCTACTATACGAGATTGTGTGACGTCATGGTTTAATAACACACACACACAAATATATTGTAGAATCAATTTATTAACGTCTGATTTATTTTTATATTTTTTGTGTGATAGAACGTCAACCGAGCATACGGATTACCTGATGGTAAGCAATCACTGCCGCCCAGTTACGAGTGCGTTACCGAGCTTGGTTTAGGAATTTGGAGATTTTGGGATCGGGGAGGGGAAGGATTGCCTGTAACTTGACTAACACGGCAAAACACAACGCTGTGCTTGTTTCACGCCGGTATACTGTGAGGACTTGGTATCAGTCCAGTCGAGCCGACCCATTCGTGCTGAAGCATGGCTCTCCCACACATATCTACTATATTTTATTGCATTCTAGACTTGAAATTGTTTATCTTTGCCTAAGTCAATTGACCTATTGTTTATACAGGTATCTGCGTGTTCCTAGCGATGTTGCTTCAGCTGTCAGGAATCGACGTGCTCCTATTTTACATGGAGGAACTGCTCAGCAAGGTCGGCACCAACCTCTCGCCCTCCGATGGTACCATCATCATGGGCGTTGTTCAGGTAAAAACGTAGTTTATCTTTATATTCTTTTAGTCAGAAAACTTGAGATAATTTAATGGCATAGGTCGGCAAACGAGCAGACGGATTACCTGATGGTAAGCAATTTACGCCGCCCATGGACATTTGTAATAGTAAAGGAGTTATTACAAGTGCGTTGCTGGTCTTTTGTGGATTATTGGGGATTAAAGGATAGGGGATTTGAGGACTGAGGATGAGGAAGGGCTCCCGTTACATGTAACAAACATATCGCTGCTGTATCATGCCGATTTTCTCCGAGGCCGCGGTATCACTCTGAGCGAGCCGACCGATTCGTCCCGTTTAAGTTTTGGAGAGCCAAGCTTCGGCACCGATGTGAAACAACACACAGCGTTGTGTTTCGCCGTGTGAGTGAGGTTACCGGAGTCCATCCTCTCCCTTCCTCAACCCCAAAATCTCCAAATCGGTAATCGTACTACTAACTACTCATTTGTTGCGTCTAGTTTTGTGTCTAATTTTTTCCTGCCTTTTTATATATTTTATGTGAGAAATCGGCAAGCGGGCAGGCGAATTACCTACCTGATGGTAAGCAATCGGCGCCGCCCATGTACAACCGCAACACCAAGAGAATTACGAGTGCGTTGTCGGTTTTCTGGATTAGGGAATTAGGGATTAGGGATCTGGTCAGTTGAAGGATTGGGCCTCCGGTAACCTCAATCACACGGCGAAACATCAACAAGACTTTAAGAGGTTTACAAATTGTTGTGTTGAGTCTGGCTATGATGTGTATGTAAAATTGAATGTTTCTAAATGCACCTACGACACAGGAGAAAATCTAAAAGTGGAGCAACTATTAAAAAACGTCTTTGCCAATAATTTTTCTTCCAGGTGGTGACTAGCTGCATCACGCCATTAGTGGTAGACCGACTTGGCAGGAAACTGCTCATGTGGACCACCTCTCTTGGTCTCACCATCTTCTTAGTAAGTTATTTAACTAATTTTATATTATTTCTAGCACTTGATATATTGTTTTTGGAACGAGCACGGCTTGAGTGATAAACATTTTTTTGGAGATTTTTCAAGTATAGTATTTATAATATGTGTATAGGTAGGTTAACTACTATATCCAATTATCCATATATTATGTTATTTTTTTACACTTTTGTGATTTACATAAAATCTATACCTACTGATATTATAAAGAGGTAAAATTTGTAAGTTTGTATGTAGGGGGTAATCTTTGGAACCGCTGGTCGGATTGCCAAAATTCTTTCACTGATCTATAGCTACAATGTTCCTGAGTGTTATAGGCTATAAAACATCACGCTACGATCAAATCGAGCACAGCGGCGAATGAAACCGCGCAGGAGTAGAAAGTAATATATAATTATTTTTCTTTGTATCTGCCAGACCCTGATCGGCGTGTACGCACTGATGGACTCATACTACAAGTATGACGTGACACACATCGCGTTCCTGCCGCTCTTGTGTCTCATCGTATACATGATACTCTTCACGTTAGGTAAGCTAATTAACCTCTTCCTACACATAGGTAAATGTGAGTTTGTGAGAATCTATGCATTTGTTTTTGAAGAAAAGATGCCCCTCACTAGTATTTCCTCCTGTTTCGTGTCACATCACACTCAGACCCGGACCCAACAATTTGTAGATCACACAAAGAGTTGTTCCGTGCGGGTATCGAGCCCGCGACACGCTGCGCGGCAGCCAGTTGTCCAGCCACCGCGCCAACCGTGCAGTTTGTTGCAACCACAAGTTGTTGTTTCGAGTCGTGGTGGCTTATTTGTTTGACCACGACTAGAAACAACTAGTGTGTATATGTACGACACATGAGAAAATCCAAGTGCGGGGCAACGTTTCTTTCTTATATGTATAATAAATTAAATAAATATTTTGTTATCTTTCATTTTTTATATATTTTTTGAAAATGAAATCAGAACTTCTATTCGTTGCACAGCAACAACGCGTAGCATGAATCTGCTGTTATTATAAGCTGACACTCCATCTAGACATTTATAATTTTTATTTTGGTTTCCAGGGGTCGGTCCAGTTCCCTGGATATTAGTAGCAGAGATGTTCCCCGTGAAGACTAAGTGTTTAGCCGGAGGTATCTGCTCCTTCATGTGCTGGCTGGCCGGCTTCGTGTGGACCAGGTAACTTATCTCACACATTAAGGTTCTGATAAATTCGGGCATGCATAATTATATAAGTGTAGGGGAGCCATGCTTCAGCACGAATGGGTCGGCTCGACCGGAGTGAAGAACCACCGTGATGCAACATTTACGTTGTGTTTCGCCATGTGGTATTATTGGAGGCCCATTCCCCTCCCCTCTCCTTTCATCCTTAATCTTCTAACCCGCTATCCATAAATCCCTAAAAACCCACAAAAAGACCGGCCTTTTGTGGGTTTTTGAAGCACTTGTAGTAACTCCTTTGGTATTACGGTCCATGGGCCTGTGCCCGTGCGCGAGTGCCCAATACCCATTGCTTACCATCAGGTAAGTTCCGTCTGCTCGTTTGCCGACCTGTGACATAACATGTCCACATTTACTCATTAGTACTTATTCTTCCGAATGTAATATTGTAATAGAATAGCGATATCGTCATTATTAACCTATAAGTGATCCTCACTAAGCCTCTTCTCTACACGGAGCAGGTTACCATCAATTAAGTACCACGAAAATAATAATCAAATGACTTCTACCGCCTTGGGTAGGGTGAGTGGAAATGTCAGACTCTTACTGATTTCATCATCATCAGCCTATAAGTGCCCACTGCTGAGCAAAGGCCTCTTCTCACACGGAGAAGGTTAGAGCATTAATCACCACGCTTGCTCAATGCGGGTTGGTGATTTCAAACTTATAATTAGAAATTATAAGTCCAGGTTTCCTCACGATATTTACCTTCACCGTATGTCAGTGGTGTCTAAATAATCACAGAAAGTACATATAACTTGGAAAAAGTCACATTGGTACTTGCCAGGTTTCGAACCCGCACCCTCATGCATGAGAAGCGGGCGCCTTAACCTCCGGGCCACCACGACCATCCTCCGGGCCACCACGACCACACTTACTGATTTAATACCGCCTCTTCTTTCTTCTGCTTTGAGACGCAAACCCGGCTGAAATGATGTTAGATGTAAACTAGATTTCTTGTTTTACATACCTTTTATGTGTAATAAGTATGTACTTACTAGCGACCTATTTCGCCTTTGCACGGATATAATGCTTTTACTACAATTGCTCCACTGCTTAATGGAAAGATATCTTTATACATTTAACCTATCTCTTCAATTAGGTACTCAATCTATTAAAAAACAGCATCAAAATCCGTTGCGTAGTTCCAAAGAGTTAAGCATACATAGGGAGACATATAGAGACAGAGAAACCGACTTTGTTTTATACTATGTAATGATGTAACAGGACTGGACTTCAAGCCAGCCCTTAACTCTCCACTCGGCGAGTAAGGGTAGCTTGAGACCATTGACCGTGTCCACCGCGTAGCATTCCGCGTGCGCCTCAGACCTAATAGACCACCATAGACGGGGCCCTATAGGGTTGATGTTCAGCCGGTTTGTGGGGTACCTAAGCGCAATTAGGCATCGCAGCCGCGGCATAGAGTAGGAGAAGGAAAGGGGGAGGGGCGGTTAGTGTTCACCCTGGACGGGAGAAGAAATTTGAAGATTTTCCCCTAACTAAAAACAGATCTCCATCCATCATCAGGGGCCTCCCTATTTATCACTCGCACATCGAGTATTGTTTTTAAGGCGTTTAAAGGTCCATTTCGACACTTTATTTTATTTTATGATGTCTTCAGGTTCTTCCGCGACGTGGCGGCCTCGTACGGCATCTACACTGCGTTCTGGATCCTCGCCGTCTGCTGCGGGATCGGGTTCATTTTCTCTGCTACCTTACTGCCGGAGACTAAAGGCAAGACTTTCGACGAAATACAGGATATGCTGAACAATAGGTGAGCTTTCATAATAACTACGAAAGTATGGCTTTACAGTAAAAATATTGACAAATTAGAAGATACTTTTAGGAATATACACGTAGTAACTCAAAGAGTATAGGGTAAGTACATTCAGAATTGAAGTATCTGATGCCAAAGATACCAATTATATTTCCTTTTTCAAACCATAAAATGTAATCAAGAATATTATACCTATATTTCTATTTGACTTTTTTTATATTTTAACTTGATCAATAATTTAACTGGGTCCCACCATCTTTTGTTGTTACGACTTTGTTTTAAGCCACACAAACTAGTCCTTTTCAAAAAATTAATTATTTTATATGAAATATCTCATTAGTAAAATTGCCAAACGCCGCCAAAGTAGGAAATAGGAAATACGAAGAATAGTTTTATAAAGCTTCACAATAATTTATTGTTCACTTCGATATTATTGTTCATATGTACATTTTAGACAATGGAATGATACATAACACAAGCTTTTATGTTTCAGAACAAAGGAAGTAAAGCCAGTCGACGTTTAACAAATCAATAATAATAATAATAAAATCTAAATAATTTGTCTATAAGTATAAATCGAGATGTTATTCGAAATAAATTATTACAAAAAACGTGATACAATACTTTATTCTATAATCTTACACAATAATTTCATTATCATTAAGTATATATTATATGGTAAGTTTGTTGAAGTTTATCTCTGGAACTGTAGGGGGCAGATTCTGAGGCCGATGACGTCTTTGCCTATTTCTGCAACGCCACAGACGGGGCAGAGCTTGCCTTTGTGTTCGGGGAGGAAGCTGGCGCCGCATAGAGAGCACTTCTCCTCGGGTTTGCCTCTATAGATGGGCTTGTAACTTATACCGCATATATTGAATGGATTATGTTCGTCATATAAGAGTTGGTGTTCGTCTGTGAGAGATTTTTCACATGCTTGTAGGATCTTTCTGGCTTGTTGCGCGACTTCGGGGCGAGGGCCGAGTTCTAGCAGTCTGCGTGCGAAGGAGGCGCCCGTTCGGAAGTTCTTGAGTTTGAAGAACATGTTGAGGGCCGTCCTAAGAGTCAGTATCTGGTGGACAGGTTGTAACTTGCAGTGGGTGAAGTAAGCCGCCATCTCACACGTGCGTTTCTGCTCTTCTAGCGTGTTCTTCGGCATGGCTGTGAAGAAGATTTTATGAGAAAATTTACTTTATAAACATGATAGTAATATTAAGGATATATAAGTATGCTGAAGCGCTTTGAAATGACAGTCAATACAATGATAATTAATGTTTTGACATATAGACAAAAAATTAGGTAGTTTACTAGGCTAAAAATAAACTGACTAATAAATCTTTAATACTATGAAATATAAAAATAGAATAATACTTTCTTTCATTGATTTGTCGATACACATAATTTTACAGAAATAAGTATGCTATTTGACCTAAAAACGCAATGTTGCGGTCTTATACCAAAGTCAAAAAATTGTATCGTTTTTAACACAAGTATTGAATTTGACTAGCTAGAAACTACCGATCTCTTACATTCACAATTTCATAGCAAAAACCAACTCTACCAGCACTGACAAAATACATAACAGTAATAACCTTTTCTAGCTGTCTCCATCTGCAAACCTAGGAGGTATTCTCTGGCAATGTTGAGTAGTTGCTGTGCCTCGGTGAGTTCAGGCTTGGTGTCGACGTGTAGCAAGGGAACTGATTGCGCGATGCGCTGAAGTTTCTCGACGGCCTCCGTGAACTTGCCCGCCGTAGTCAGCTGGTAGCATTGCTGGAGTTGCGTTACTAAGTCGTTTAGTTTGGCGGCTGGAAATGAGAAATATTATCATTTTATAGCATCATATTGACTGGCTTCTTATTAGTAAGAGAAAAGTGTTTTTTTTGACGTGGAATATCATCGAATGACTTCTATGGGTCTTAGTGGGAGAAGGATTGTCAGAATCTTACTGACTAAAAATCACTTGTTCGTTATCCTACTCCATGCTGGGGCTGCAATAAATTATTGCATTTAACCCGCAACCCTGGCTGGAAAAAGTGCGAGTAAGTGCTATGGGTTTGATTGACAAACAGGACAAAACAAATACTTATAAATATAATTAACAATCGAATACAAATCATTTAATTGTTTATTTTAGATAAATAAGAGCACAAAGGTGGGAATATAAAAAGAGACTGCAAATACGAAACCTAAACGGCCTTATTACAAAACAAGGTTTTACTTTAGGACTAAACCATTGAGTCAGTTTTTGTATTTCGAATTGAAGGTAGATGACAATAAGATTCAAAATTCAAAACCCGACTCAATGGTTTAAACCTGGACTAAAGATAAATCTTGTTTTGTAATAAAGGGGATAGAGATGAAAAGTTGATGATACAATTTAGGAGCCAAAACAAAACAATGTTGAAAACTAAATACGAGTTTTTAAATTAACATATATATCTCATGACTGATAACCCTTAGGATAGTATCGGTTTTTAATCCTTGCCAGTGTTTCTTTTTAAATTATTTTGACTAGTTGCAAACTATCGTATTACTATTAAATTCACAATTTTATTATTTAATTACAAATATAGTAGTACTATAAAAATGGCTACTCACTGACAACAGGCAGTAGATCCCTCCCACTGGCCTCCTTCCAGTTGCGATGCAGCGAGGCGGGGAGTGGAGGCAGCGACGCTAGCGCCCCAAACGTCAATCTCGCGCGACCGAACATGCCCACGAACTTGTCCAAATACGGCTCGAAGTTCACTATACCCACTTGCTCGTTCAATAGTCTGTTATACAATAAAATAATTAATTAAAACTCTCCTTATTACATACACACATCGCTAATCATAGCTCACATATCGACAATAAAGATATATTAAACAATGTAAGTAGATGTAGTTTAAAAAAAAAACTTTTTGGTTTTGGCAAACCGGCTACAACGAGAGAGATATTAAATTTGTTCAGTTAGTATATTTTCGACCTTATTACATTGTTACAAGGTAGAAAAACCTATAAAGGAAACTTGCACTCGCCTGCCTGCATTACCTAAACTAGTTTAAATTGTTCAAAAAGTTGATAGAAAAATAAACAAAATAAAATAATTTAGTACATTACCTGAGCGCTATCTCGAACTGTCCAGTGGCGATGTGATCGTGTGCAGTACGCAGTTTGCCCGCCAGGGCGGCGCTGGCGCCGCGGGTCGGCGCCACGAAGTATTCCGAGCTCTCCTCGCCACCGTCTATATCCGCTGTTGAGACAAATTCATAATTTTTATGTTATCTAGAAAACCAATGATTAGAAAAATAAATAAAACTATATACAACACAATAATATTATCTATGTTATTTGACAAACCAAGTTTCTAATCTATAACGTACACATTATTAGAACCTTAAATAATTAAAAATAGTGGATTCATTAGTTTGTTTTCTACAATTCATTTTTTTGTTAACCAACTTTAGCCGATCGAATCGTATGAACGTAAGTAGCTAGTCTCAAACTATATACTTATGTATGAATAAAAACCAAGAAACTTCATCGTTAAGCTATTCGAAGTATCTTGTTAAAAAACATCGAAAGACCTTACCAGAAACAGGTGCCAGTTCCTCAGGCAGCTCCAAGTCCTCATCACCAACGTCCCAGCCTCCGTCGTCACACGCGTCTTCCATCACTTCCTCGCCTTCATCGCCTTCACCCTGAAGAGGAATAAGGACCATTTATACATGTTTCAGTATCAATCTTATATAATATATATAATATATTATATAAGTCTTCATTTGAATTTGTATAACGAACCATGTATAAGCCATATATATGGTTTGTTTTTTTTAATTTATTTATTTATCAGGGCTTTCCCATTTTATGTCTTCTAAGTAACAAGATATAAACTAAATAACACAATAAAAAAAAAACTAAATGTTTATACCTAATTAAATTATTTTGATGACATTACTTCAAATAAGAATTTAGCTACATTGGAGTTGGGTTGACTAAGAATCACATTGAATACGCCAACATCCAGTCTGTTCAAATTAAAGGCATTTATTAAGCATGGTTTCTTATTATTTCAAAATTATTTTCTAATATTTATATAATTAAGTTCATAAAAGAACAGCCTATAAATAAATATGTTTCAAATTTAGAGGTTTTTAATTAATGGATCTTTTTTCGAGGAATTTACATTCAATTAAAAAAACAGTCATAGCTAGATATTATGTTGGTTAATATCCTAAATAAAAAAAGGCAAAAACGATCCAAGCTCTTTGGATCACTACAAATAAATACGAAATAGAAACCGGTAAACTTGCAACTAAAAATAAATCCAACCCACATGAATCGATTTTCCAATCATAAAAATCACAAAGTATAATAATATCAATGAATAGCCTTGATGTAAATGACTTGCGTAAATACGTCCAATTATTTAATGGTCCTCAAAAAAGCTGACTTGATGGAATTTCTAAGTTAGATTTGAGTATGTGTTTATGCTTGTACTGTACGGCCGACGTATCTTGGCAAGTCTGAAGTTAGCCGTTTGTCTGCGTAATGGATCTTTTAGGAACAAAATTGTGTACTGCGTAGCTAATCGGCCAACTTCAGACTCGCCAAGATAGGTCGACGGTATTGTAGTACCTTATTCTCCTGCAGGACGTCGTCGTCGTCGTCCCCCCAGGCGCCGGCGGCCTCGAGCGGCTCGTCGCTGTGGGCGGCCGTCACCGCGGTACTGTCCGCCCCCGCGCGCGCCCCGCCCGCTACCTCGAAGAAACTCCTGGAATAATATAAATATTCATCATAATGCGGTACTTTCCAACTAGTCAAATTCAATACTTTTATCTAAACGTCCAAAAACCATACTTTTCTATGAAATTTGTAAGTAATGACGTCATAACATTTTTACGTCAAATAGCTTATTTATTTCTTAATAATTAGCCAAAAAAATCTAAAAGTTAGTGTATCGATATTTTTCAATATTGTATTGCATTGAAACGTCCAATTAATTTATTTTCGACCTAGGAAACTACCCAACTGTACGTTGATAACAAAACAAATCGCTTAAAACTAGCCCGTCTAGAGAGTTATACCCGAAAGGCTTTATTGTATACTAGCTTCTGTCGCGCTGCTCGGCTCTTACAAATCGTAGCGTGATATTTTAGTCTTAAACCTTCCTCGTAAATGTACTAACAAACACAAAAAGAAATATTCAATTCGAACCAGTCGTTCTGGAGATTAGCACGTTCAAACACACAAACAAACTCTTGAGCTTTATAATATTAATATAGAGATTATAGATAAATAGGTCAGCTCCGCCGCAGTGATACCGCAGCCTCATAGAAAACCGGCGTGAAACAACGTTGTGTTTCGCCGTGTGAGTGAGTTTACCGGATGTCCAATACATACATAATTCTTCCCTTCCCCCAATCCCTCCAGAATCCCAAAATCTCCAATCCCCAAAATGTCGGGAACGCACTCGTTACTGGTCTAATGTTGCGTGTGTCATTGGGGGGCGCTGATTGCTTACCATCAGGTAATCTGACAGCTCGATGGATTTCGAGCGGCGGTATAATAAGATGGGCAAATTAAAACTTGGTGGTTGTTTCACGTCGGTATTCTGTGAGGCCGTGGTATCACTCCGGTCGAGCCTACCCATTCGTGCTGAAGCTTGGCTCTCTCACGCCTATAAACATTAATTGATAAAACTATAAAATATCAACTCACTTTGAAACCGCTAACAATGGCCAGTTAGGTTGTTGGTTGTGGACCGGTATTGGTGGTCTTAGTAACTGCGCATCGGGGTTCGGTTCTGGGATGGGTAAATTGGCTGCTTCCAACATAGCCTTGAGTTGCTCAGCTTCTTCTAGCTGTTTGTGGTTGATTGCCGTGAGGTAGGCTAGAGAGATCTGCAAGAATTAAAAAAAAAATCGTGTTAATAAAGTGGACGTTTAAGTCAATTATGATAGTGATACCACGGCCTCACAGAAATGCGTGAAACAACCACAGCGTTGTGTTTCGCCTTTTGTTACCCTCCCCCAATCCCCAAACCCTAATCCCCAAAATTTCGGCAACGCACTCGTAACCCTTTCGTTGTTACGGGTGTCCATGGGCGGCGCTGATTGCTTACCATCAAGTAATCCGTCTGCTCGCTTACCGTCTAATGCCCGGTTTCTGAAGGCGTCGGTTATGTTTAAAATAGTTGTTGGTTCAATAAAGTTATCAATAAGATAAACGTCAGTTAACTGTCACTGCGTTTCTAAATACGCAACGAGCCCTTCAATAACTATGTAAAGGATAGTAAGTTCCTTAATTTGCCAATAGATGGGGCTTTTAAGGATAACCACTAAATTTTGATTTTGTTTATTCTATTTCAGCTTTATTACATGTTTATTAGGTAAGTAAATATTTTTTTTTTCAAAGTTTTAAGTTATCAATAAAAAAGAATCGTCAAACAGACATTGTTGTCGGTTGCTTTGGAAAACGAAAACGATATCTTAAAGTAAACTCTTCATCAGTAAACATTTCTAAACGATTTCTCCTTTGTCTTAAGTTTCTGGGTACAGAAATACTAGAAATAAACTCTAGTACTTCCATATCGGACTCAGATGAACTGCTTGTATTTAATATGCTCTTATTCATTGCTCTTCCATAATTAGCAACTTAAGCAACTTTGACTTATTGAAATAATTTTGAAATTTACCACAAAAATTGTATAGTTTGACATTCGAAACGTAAAATATAGTTATGGAACTGATAAACGGCACCAAATGGCGAGTTAAGATAGCTTTAGTTTAAACGGAGTTTATCTAACAATGCATTGCTCAGAAACGTACTTGTAAGAGTTTTCGAACCAATAGCGCTATCGAATCGATAAACTGCCGTTAACTGTACCTCAGAAACCGGGCATAAGTGGTTAAGACTAAATAACAAATTAGAAAGATATTATAAACTTTCTCGAAGACTAGAAATTGTTAAAAAAAAAATAACAATTATTATTTAATATTATGAAAAGAATAGGTACGATTGCTGTTTGTTTGTAGGGGGGGAGAGACAGGGGGGAAATATCAAATGTCTTCTCGCGACCTGGGTGTGTCGAGGGCCTGTCAGACTCAGAAAACCCTCCAGTTCCTTCTCCAGGGCCTCGGCAAATTATTGCGCTTCGGAAGGTAAAAGGGTTAGTCAGTTATAGTCCGACACTCCCTCTTGCTATGGACGTTATAAATAAACCAAAGAATTTCCATCTTCAAAAAAAAGGGGAAAAGTTACCCAAACTTAGCTGGTATCTAAATAAATTTTATATTTCAATGCTCACCTGTCCAGCATTCTTCAGTAGCCTTATGGTCTCCCTGGTATCTCCAAGCAGTAGCGCCCCTTGGAACTGGGCGGAGACATCCTTGCGTATCTCGGCGATCTTCATCATTTTGCGCAACTTGTCCAGGTTGCCAGTTATCAGGTACAGGAAGGAGAGCTTGTCGAAGTTCTTTGTGCGTTGGTAGCACATCTCAACTATCTGTTGGTGATCAAATATATTTATGTGTAGTGTAGCCGGCACCTAACTTGGCAAGAAGTTGGAGTAGTGGGGGCAAGTTCGCGCATCGTACACTTAATGGAAAAAAAAGTGGTCCCTTTTAGTGATTGTAATTTTTTTATGATTATTGCCATAATATATTGTCAATATCTGTTTAAATGGAAGGAAATTAACTTAATATTTATTAGGTGCTATAAATAAAATACCTAAATTAATTTAAAAGTAACGTTTAACCGTCTCTTTTTCAGTAAGAGTTTCTTTTGATATGTAACAATACACATTAGACCATTTTTCTGGCCTGTCTACGTAAAATAACGTTTGATCTCGACATTGTAATAACCAAAAGGAAAATTTTAAAAAAAAACAACAACAATTCGTAACAATAACAACAACTTATAACAAAAACGAAACAATAAACTTTAAACTTAACAAAAACAAAGAGATCAACTTTAGGGCACGCAAGTGTATTCGGGAGCGAACGAGACGTGGACACAGTGCGGGGGGGCAAATTTCTACTGACGCACCAATCACGCACTCGGCTCGGCGTTGTCACACACCCCGCGCCCCGCTTGCGTACCAGAGGCATCTAAAATATGACTTCTGCGCATTTAACGACTCTTGCCAAGTTACGTGCCGGGGTCTGTACCTTAATGACATTTATGACTGCACGATTGGTGCAGTGGCTGGGCAACTGACTGCCGTGCAACGTGTCGCGGATTCGATTACCGCACGGAACAACACTTTGTGAGATCCACAAATTGTTGTTTCAGGTCTGGGTGTGATGTGTATGTGACATTGTATGTTTGTAAACGCACCCACAACACAGGAGAAAAACTTAAAGTGGGGCAACAATAATTTAAAAAAAAATTAATGGAATATGATTTGTCTGTGGTTTCACTCTGTGTCATAGGTGCGTTTATAAACATACAATTTTACACACACATCACACCTAGTCCCAGAACCACAATTTGTAGATCGCACAACGAGTTGTTTCGTGGGGGAATTGAACCCGCGACGTACTGCAGGACAGCCGGTTGCACAACTAACGCGTCAACTATGCTGTGAATATTGGTAAACTTTAAAATAATCAAATATTTAACAATAATACTCGACTAGTTCCAAGCCACAGCTCGACCATTTGTCATAAAAACTATAATATAATCGGTTTAAAAATAGTAATATTTATCATATTGAACATATTTAGGTATATTTAAATCAATATATTGATATCTTATATTTTTTGTCTTTATTTACACATTGTAACTCAATGGGGGCTACATTTTTATACACCAGATGGCGCTAGTATGGCAGGTGTTGTCAATCTAATTTACTGTAGCTGTCAAAATTGACAATAACACCAGCCCATACTTTATTACAAACAAAAATACAGTAGGCCCCATTTTGGAGAGATTCTTTCGCGGTAAAATAGGGAACTATGAGTGAGGACATGAAGGCCAGATAGCATACCTGATGGTTTCCAGTAGCTAATGCTGCGTTAGCCAGCTTGGTCCATGCGGCGGGCTCGTCGAGACTCTTGGCAGCGTCCAGCGCGACGTCGATGTTCCCGCACTGCAGGGCCAGCGACAGCCGCGTCCGCGCGTCCTTCACGAAGTGCAGCGCTACCTCGGGGTAACCTGGGGACACCAAACAATATTATATTGTGCCTGCTAGTGTCTACAATGTACACTTATAAAAAAAAATACAAAAACATCTTCGAGAAAAATGGTCGTACAAGAAATAAACAAAGGTAATCGTATCTGCAGAACAAAAGAACTATGAAATGTAGACACTGCGGTTCTTTATGTAACAGTTAAAAGTCAAAGTCAAAGTCAAAATCATTTATTTCAATTAGACCACAGTAGGCACTTTTGGATGTAAAACAACAGTAGAATAGTGATCAACAAGAATATTTCAAAACAAAGAAAGAATGGACATCAAGCTTTTGATGTGGAATTCAATTCAATTGTGGGAGAGCCATGCTTCGGCACGAATGGGTCGGCTCGACCGGAGTGATAACACAGCCTCACAGAATACCGGCGTGAAACAACCCACAGTGTTTCGCCCTGTGAGTAAGGTTACCGGAGGCCCAATCTCTCCCCCTCCCCTATCCCTTTCCAAGTAGCGAATTGCGGTGAAACATGCGGTTTCTGTTCGTAAAAACTTAATGTTTCCTGTGATTCGAAATTCCCTATAATCTGCGAAATCACCAAAGCAATAATTCACTCTTTAGTTTTGCATAACCACAGAAATATAAAAAACAGGAGAAGTGGCAAGGGGGCGTGTCCGTGTCCGCGGCACTTGCGCGAAATGCTCTTGTACCGTCAAATGGCCGATCATTTAGCAAACTCGCAAGATCGCGAACGTGCTCGTAAATAAATTTAAAATGCCGTGTTGTGCAGTGGTTTCGTGCAAGAACCGAAGCGAAAAAAAAGCCTGGGTCATCACGGAATCGCTTACCATATGTAAGTACAAGTTTAATACTATATTTATCTTTAAAATCAGGAAAAACAACAAATCTTATAAAATCCGTTGCTGTTACTACGTTATTTTTGTTTTCAAATATCGAAACAACTTTATTACTCTTACACTAAATACATTGCTGTTTAAGCACAACCTAATTTTGATGCTCAGAAAATGGACAAGCAATGTAAATATAACATAACGATACTTTATTAGTGCGATATGTTTTATAATGCGGCCGCTGTTAGATGCGACGAGATAGTGATGTAGCGTGTAGGTACAGATCTACTAATGTATCGATCACAATATCGATTGTTTGGATATCCGAAGTGAAATAATATATTTTTTTTTTATTTTACAGAGTAGTAGAAAAATACGTTAGCAACTGTCGTAAAGTAAGTTGGTTAAATTGTAAGTTAATAGTTGGTGAACTATTTTTAGGTTTCGGATGTCTCATTATGTTATGCGTTATCTTGGTGTTATTTCCTGACTTTTTCTGATTTTGACATTTTATCTGCGTTCTTTAAGTCTTCTAAAGCTTCGAATGCGCTATAATAATACGCATGATACAGAATATATTAACAACTTATGCTTAAAATAAGGTTCATAACATTTTCTAGCTCTTTATTTCTTATGCATGTGTGTGTGTTGTATTTCATATAGGTATTTAACAATAAATAATAATAATAAATAAAATGTTTATTTGTTATAAAAAGGTAGATTACAAAAAGTATAATATCTTAAGTCTTGAAACAAGCTTTGTACTAGGTTTTTTTTTTCTAATTTTTTTTACATGGTAAACTTTAGCAGTTGCTTAGGTAAAACTGATAACTAAAGTGTTATTTTATGCTTTCAGTTTTCCCGAAAGATGCCACTCGAAGGCCACCTAATAGGTTCCCTACAAAAAATAGTACCGTATGCTCAAGTCACTTTGAACCAGAAATGTTTCAGCCTCTAAAAATCTTCTTTTTACAGGTCTGTGAGTAAATACAATAACAGGCAATCAACAGTAATACATTGATTGATCAAAAATTTGTAATTTCTGAATATTATGAATACAATTTTTATTGTTTTTTTTATTAATATATAATTTTCTGGACACTTTGATTTTTATTTAATTTGTTTTTGAAATCCAAAAAAAATAATACAATAAAAAATGGAAAAATCGATAACTTTTCCATTTAGTCAATCACTAGCGTAAATGTAAAATAAATTGCTTTTGCACAGCACATCAGTGTTTTTATGTGTGCGTAAGTTATACTGCATGGAAAATACACGCTGTTTATAAAAGAAAATAAGGTTTATAATTGACTGTGCAGTATAGTCTGATTTATGTTTTGCGGGTGTGTGCGCGACTGTGTAACTATTGCAGTATGTGTAGTGGTGTCGGTGTTGGTAGGGATAACTGCAGACATCGGGTCCCCGTACATTTTTCACTACTTAACACATCTCCTCTTTTCTTATATCTATGTGCATAACTAAAACGTTTTTTTTTAGTTGGAAATATGTTCTTGCCCCGCTCAGGGTAAGACGACAGTTTCATTCAATAAAATTAGGTCGCCGTGGGTGCAAGTTCACGCTATTGTTTCTTCTCGTTATAACCGGGCAAGTGAACTCAGACATGGGCACGACATTAAGTAGAAATTCTTATAATAATTTATACAATATATTACCTTTCTCCTGAAGGTAAGCAATAATGCTCTGTCCGACGAGCTTGGCAGTGCGCACCATGTGCAGAACCTGGTCGTACTGACGCGTCACCAACGCTAACTTGAACCTGTGGCATAACGTACATATTATAATCTATTATACTCAAGAACGGCTGAACTGGTTTGGTTAAAAATAAGAAGGGAGGTTGCTAAGAACTGGGAGATTTAGAGATTGTAGGATAGGGTAGTGTAGGTAGGTCCTAGTCTTAGTAGGTAGCGTAGGTAGAGTAGGGTAGGGTAGGTAGCGTAAGGTGGGTAGCGTAGTGTAGCATAGAGTAGGATACATAAGGCAGAACAGGGCGTGTAAGGTAGGTAGAGTAGGGTATATAAGGCAGTAGAGGGAGAGTAGGGCAGATAAGGCAGTATAGGGGGTGTAGGTTAGGTAGAGTAGGGTAGATAAGGCAGTAGGTAGAGGGAGTGTAGGGTAGGGTAGGTAGCGTAGGGTAGGGTAGATAAGGTTGCAGAGGTAGAGTAGGGTAGAAATGACGGAAGCTACGGGTAAACAGCCAGTTGGTGCATTGTGCGTGTACCTGTACTCGGTGGGGTCGATGCTGAGGACCTTGGGCCTGCAGTCGCGGTCGAGGCAGACGACGCGCGCGCCGGCGTCGCCCGCCTGGACCCGCACCAGGTACACCGGCACGTCCAGCGTGCGGATGATGCCGTAGTCCCTGCAGTATGTACACCTCCATTACACAACCAATAACGTCAAAAAATTAACACTATTTTAATTCTGTTTTGTAAGGAATGAGGCCAAAAATTGAGTCAAAGGTCAAAATAATTTATTTTTCACTTAGAAAACTACCCAATACGGTAGTTTCCAACTAGTCAAATTCAATACTTTTATCCAAACGTCAAAAACGATACTTTTCTATGAAATTTGTGTGAAAAACTGAGCTATGACGTCATAACTTTTTTGCGTCAAATAGCTTACTTATCTTATTTCACAATAATTAGCAAAAAAAATCTAAAACTCGGTGTATCGATCGATCGATGAACAAAAGTATAGCAATATTTTATAGTATTGAAACATCCAATTAATTTATTTTTGACCTAGGAAACTACCCAATTCCGATAAGTTATGCTTCATGTGCATAATATGTTATGTTCGGTGCCAAATATATTTTTTTCTTCATCCAAAATTATAAATAAACTAGCTACTCTCGCGCGGTTTCACCCGCTGCTCGGCTCCGTTTAGCCGTTCCAATTATAGGCTACTGCACTCGGGATCATTTTAGCTATATCAGTGAAAGAATTTTGGCAATCCGACCAGCGGTTCCAAAGAAGACCCCCTACATACAAACTTACAAATTTTACCTCTTTATAATATTAGTATAGATAAAAGCACAGCAAGAATATCTCACCCATCTTTACAGCAATACTTGATATGATTAGCAGTGGTATATATGAACACAGGTTGAGGCGTGGAATCATCAAATGCGCCAGACTTGACTCTAGCGCCCTCTGTGATCGTACACAGTTGCTCGAGTTTCTTAGTACAAAGTGTTACTGTGTGCTTGCCCAGTAAGGCAACCAATGACATGTCCGAATTCCATATGGCGTAGCGGCACTTCGATATTTTTACCTGTGTAAAACATTTTTAAATCAATTATTGTGTTTTCGGCTTACTCACGTAAAAATTTGACGAGATACTCGGACTAGTTTCAAGCCATGCTAGAGGCCCAAATCCATACTCACAAACTAAAACAACCCACAGCGTTGTTTCGCCCGGTGAAATTCGCCGCGTGAGTCAGGTTACCGGAGGCCCAATCCCTCCCCTTCCCCTATCCCTACCCGATCCTTATATCCGCAACACCTATCCCCAAAAGGCCGGCAACGCACTCGTACGTAACTCCTTTGGTGGGTGTCCATGGGCGGCGCCGAATGCTTACCATCAGGTAATCCGTCTGCTCGTTTGCCGATTTCTACCATAAAAAAGCTATTTCTTGTGAAATATGATAATAAGCCACTTACGGAGGCAATGGTCCTCTTCTGTTGTACATCAAGCAGTTGCACAGCGTCTGGTTCTCGAAGCAGTAACATTCCTGTACCGGCGTACATGATCTCCTCACATGTAGGCGTAGATATCTTCTTTGACACCTCATTCTTCAAGTTTTTGATCACGAGCTGGGAACATTTATTATTTTTATTTACTGCTAAATCGTTTTTCTCGGCTGTCGAATTTAGAAATGGGCAAGGGACACTGCGAATGAGTTTACCACCGGATCGTTAATGCAGCGGAATATCAAATAGTAATACCCTGAAATGCCCTGAATGTGCCTATATATTTGACGCTGACTGTACATACCTACAATTGGACAGTTTCCTAGGTCAAAAATAAATAAATTCAATGTTTCAATATTAAAAAATATTGAAAAACAACTATACTTTTATTCATCGATCGATCGATACACTAAATTTTAGATATTTATTAACTAATTATTAAGAAATAAGTTATTTGGCGCAAAAACACTATGACGTCATAATTCACTTTTTCATACAAATTTCATAGAAAAGTATCGTTTTTGACATTTGGATAAAAGTATTGAATTTGACAAGTTGAAAACTACCGTATACAATGCAATGTAATGAAATGTTAACTGCATATGATGCAGGATACTTGCAATAAGTAGTGTAACGCACCTGATTATTCTTTTCGAGCGCCGCGAACCTGTTCCTGGCGACCCAGACGGCGGTGGTGGCCTGTCCCCGCGCGGGGTCTGCGCTGGGCGGCTCGGCCCCGTCGCGCGGCGCCGCGTACAGCTCGTACGAACTGTTGTCTCCCACTCGCCAGTTCACCAGCACGCACCATTCCGCGTGGTTCAACGACATACTGCAATTTTTTATTCATATTTTTGGCAAAATTTACGTATTTATATTGTTCTTTCCTTTCACGGGACCACAGGGTCCCGGACCTTTGGAAGGCGTACAAGGAGCCGAAGCCAACTCGCAGAGGCCCGTTGAATAGTTTTAATCTAAATGTGATGGGACATCAGCCAGCAATTATCCCTGTATGCACTATAAAAGTGCACCCAAGGACAATCCCCGGTTGATGCAGGACTATTGTGAAATGTGGTAAAAATTGATAGGGTTATGAACATGGGTTACTATGGACTGGTGGATATGATAACTATGGAAATACTATGGCCCCTGCCCCTGACCAATATTGATACATACGGATAAACAGGCAGGGGGTGACTGGCAAACTCAATTAATGGACCCCCGGAAACGGCCGCTAGCATGTAGCGACACGGAGGCAACATACGTTGAGCTGCTTGGGGAAGGAGAGGCATCCCACGGCCATCAGAGCAATCCCGGAAGTACGGGCAAGACCCCTACCAGCACCTTACTGAGATACATCCTTCCCCCGAGTCTCCTGCTTCAACTCAAGCCAGCCAATTAAGGCAAGAATGAGGTAGGAGGGCTTGTCCTTCATCAGTTTTCACTCCAGCTCGTCACGAGGACTAACCGGAGATGAAGAACAAGACACCGGGAGTCAGGTGTTCGTGGGGTCGCCACTGCCCAACAGCTCGCCACAAGCTGCCTTGCGGATTTGTATAATTATTAGAATTTATATTGTTTATTATTATAAACATTATTGTTTCTAGTCTGACACCGGTTTCCGAAAGGCCGATCAATGTTAAAATCAATTTAATCTCTTGTCAAGTCATCTCATTGGTTGACTGAATTATTAACAACCAATCAGATGACTTGACAAGAGATTTAACAGGAGATTAGTTAATTTTAGCGTTGACAAGCCTTTCAGAAACCGGGTGTTAGTGCAACGTACGTACAAGTGAAATATTAGTTTAGATTTAGTTCAGAAAAATGAGAAAAAGCCGAACTAAAAGGGCTATTCAATAACCAATTTTGAATGAATTATTTATTATTATCAATAACATATTGCATTTGCAAACAAATCATCACACATGATAGCACTTTACCCGATCGGCGAATATAACCTGAAATCCCTCTTTACTGATCTTTATATGTCAGTAGGTTCGCCTCTATTGTAAGTTTTTTTATAAATAAATATTATTTTTATTGCATTCAAGTAACATATCTACAGTTTTTGACACTGGTCTCAAACTAAGTAAGCCTATCTGGGATATCAATGCGGAAGGTTTGTCATCATCATCATCATCAGCCTATAAGTGCCCACTACCGAGCAAAGGCCTCTTAAGCATTAATCACCATGCTTGCTCAAGGCGCGTCGGCGATTTCAAACTTATAATTAGATATTATAAGTCTAGGTTTCTTCACGATGCTTGTTTTCTTTTACTATAATTATGTCAGTGGGGTCTAAATAATCATGGAAAGTACATAACTCGGATAAAGTTACATTGATCAGGTTTCGCACCCTCATGCAGGCGGGCGCCTTAACCTACGGGTCACCACGACGGTTTTGGTTTGTCCTTAAACAATTAAATTACATATGTTTTTTGTTTCTTTACCTGTATGGCTGATTGCGTCCACCTCCTTTGATTTGCATCACGGGCGAGTCGCGATTGGTTGCCATATCCAACTTGCGAAGTTGTCTGGGAAATTCAATAATCTTTAGTTAAAATAGTCGCCAGCACCCTCAAATTAAATACAATTTTAATATTATGAAATACTATAGTATTCTCGCGCGGTTTCACCCTGCTCGGCTCCATTTGATTGTAGCGTGATGTTTTATAGCCTACTAGCTACTCTCACGCGGTTTCACCCGCTACTCGGCCTCATTTAATCGTAGCGTGATGTTTTAGAGCCCTTAGCGCGCAGGAACATTATAGCTATATCTATCAGTGAAAGAATTTTGGAAATCCGACCAGCGGTTCTTAAGATTACCCCCTACATACAAACTTACAAATTTTACCTCTTTATAATATTAGTAAAGATAGCACTCACTCACCGATGAATATTCAACAACTTAAAAGAAAGTACTATTGAAAAACATCAATCGTGACCTACCTGTCCTTGATGTAGAAAAGAATGTTATTATGCACGGCGTATGCAGGCCTCTCCCGCTGCAGTTTGAACAACACCATACCCGCGTCATGACCAGCCGCGAACAGATTCAGTGTTGGATGGGCAGCTAATACCCAGTATCTGGAAATAAAGTGACAATATATCGATATCATTTTTGTATCATTAACAATGAGTATTGAAAAGCATAGTATTAATTAAAACCTTTCAATCTTTGTATTCGATACACAATAGAAGAATAGTAGGTGCACGAACGCGTTCGCTTGGAGTTTGTGGAATTAATTTACGTCGTTTGCCGTGCTCACATCTCATAAATTATGGGTCCCGGTGTGGCTTGAAATGTTTCGAGCATGCTCAGAATGAGATTTAAAGTGAAGGTTTTATCATAAAATGAATTAATTAAGTTATGATTACTTTTAAGTATTATAAAATACTCCAAAATAAAACATTTTTTCGCAGCTTCTAATATTCCAATTGAATATAAAAAAGATAGTGCAGTCATGTTCACGACAAAAAGAAAAAAAATATCTCGAACCTCTCATGTTCTCTCCTGAAGGAGTGTAGGCAGGTCCTCTTGGTCATGTCCCAGACTCTGATGAACTTGTCCTCACTGTTGGAGAGGATCAGCTCATGTCTTGCGTGGAAGAGCACGCAGGAGACGTTGTTGTAGTGGCCACGGCACGTGTCCACCTCCCAAGCCTTCGATTGTAATTTGAAGTTATAATCATCATCATCAAAATCAGTAATAATTAATGTCATTGCTATTTGGTGATTCTGTATTACATATTAAAATCATGCTTTCTTTATTTTTTATTATTGAATTTCATAACGTAGTCGTCCAACGAAATTGCCTGCCTATCTTTTTTTCAATTTTACGTAAGTAGTAAATAGGTACTTATGTCTTAAGATAGATACCATTTTAAAAAAAGCAATTTGTAATAATTATTCTGAAGTGGTTGGTTACAGTTTAGTTCCACTTATACCGTACTTTAAGAAACGCATGAAATAAATTAGAAGTTAAAAATAATTGTTTTCGAATCCTTAAATAGTCGGTAAGCTTAATTCCATACACTGGATATTTGCAAGCTATGAAATTTTCGAAAATCAAAAATCCACATTTTACTTTTACGTTTGGATGTCCATAACAGCTCCGGATATCCTTCCTAATTGACTAACAAGATATGAAAGAGAACCATGCATCCCGTCAAAGACCATAGTTTTAATTTTAAGCAAATATTTACATCAAATATAGCGGAATCAATTACCATTTTTAGCATTTTAAATTACATAACTTACTTTACTAACTAAACCATAATTATAAAAATTTACCTTACCTCAATTATTATCACCCAATTAAATAAATAAAAAATACATTCTTATGTACAATTTAGAGTTGAAATTCCATGAGCAGATGTAAGATCCTGTTAAAAAATGCAAGAAACAACCAAAGATAACCTAACGAAAGGAAAACGAAGTTCACCATGACGATCCACATGCAGAAATGCTAGTACGAGACAGATACAAGCAAAAACCACCATTGTTAACTTATTTACAGAGGCAGTTTTAGCTTGCAGAATGTATGTTGTCATGAGTGAAAAGATTATAATGACCTATGATGAATGAGGGAAACCAAACTTTCTGTAGATACAGACAAGATTGTTAATCGAATGATCGAGGGAGAAACCAATGTTGAAATGTTCCCAGAGTCCGTTGTAGTGCCCAATGGTACCTTGGCATCGTTCATCCTCCAGAGTTTGACCTGTCGGTCGTCAGCGGCCGATACTATGAGCGGCAGGCTTGGGTGGAAGGAGGCCCAGTTCACTCCTCGGTCGTGGCCCTCCAAGACATGTTTGACGACAGCATCAGCCTGCAATATCAGTTGCTTTCAGCAACATTGGTGATGTGTTATAACATCAATATGTTACATACATATATATTTTATATTTCATGCACAGCCTCTAGTTATCTAGTAACTACATACTTACCTGCCACATATACAAAGATTTATTTATTTATTTATTCTCTATTCTTTATATACAAATGCATATTGGAGTCATTATAATAATCCGTTTTTATCCATCTCTAGGATCGAACCTAGATAATTAAGTTCATATTACTTCATAAATACATCATCACGATTTTAAGTTACAATTGTAAATTTAAAACAATAAATTTCTAAACAACTTTAGTCATGTTTGGCAATCCAAGCAAAAATCCTTTGTTTTTAGTTACACTTGTGAACAAACATATAATAAAACTATGAAGCAAATTAACACTTAATCTTCCCTTAGCTTACTACTATATATACTTTTTATAACTTATTAAATACTTATATTAAATACTTATTAGTACCAAAACTTCATAGGTTCTTTTTCTATTTATTTTTTTAAACATGGGCAACATTTAACATAAAAAAAGTACAGTAGGATTTTCTCCTGTGTCGTGGGTGCGTTTACAAACATACAATTTCATACACATGACACCCAGACCTGGAACAACAACTTGTGGATCACACAAACTGTTGTTCCGTGCGGGAATCGAACCCGCGACACGTTGCACGGCAGCAACGTGCACCAACCGTGCAGTCAAGTTCAATTTAACAATTAAAAGTTTTGCACATATATGTTTCTTGATAAAAAGATGTTGATTAGTCATACATTATCAGAACTTCCTTTTATGGGTTACACATTAATATGTGCAGTAAAGAGCTAAATATTAATACATATCATATTATTTTCTTCATAGTTATCAGTTTTGAAAAACTGTTTGTGGAACATAAAAAGAATAATTTCATACAGGAACTGAGCCCACAAGGCATATTATACTGCACTCAATCGCCCTGCCACTGTATTTCGTTTTTTATATGAACATACATATATGTAATACATTATGATGCTCAGATTACAGTGTCAAACCAATTCATTAAGAAATTTTTGGTGACCACTTTTTAAATTATATGTCTTGTTTGTCTTACCTGTCCAAAGAGGTCTGTAGCCTGTGGATTCCTCAAATGTTCAGCAAGACCGGTGGGTCCTGGAGCTACACTCTTCTTTCTAAGACCTGAGAAGTCCCATACTCTCACAGACTGATCCAAAGAGGCAGAAACCAGAAGATCTTCTGTTGGGTGGAATTGTGCACACATCACATAATGATTATGGCCAGTTAGCACACTGATGCACTGTCTGGATTGCCAGTTCCATATTCTTATTGTCTGAAAAATATAATTTCAAAATATTAATAACTACTGCAAGTTTTATAAAACTTAACCATTAGAGGATAAAGCAAACAGCAAAACCTACATATTTCTTACTGTAATATACTTTGCTATGGAAGAGTAGGGTCCCAGGCTTAATTTGCTGAAAGGAATACCCCAAGCTCTACCCATCATGTATAACTAATTCCTGAATAAATATTTTTTGTATACCTAATACTATTTTGTTACACATTAATTTAAAATGCTAGTAGCAAAATGACATGCAAAAATCCATAACAGTTTTACCTTAGATTTTATGTTCAAGCTCAAGCTAAGTTAGTAAATAAGCATATACATATTGTAAATTATTATTAATTATTATTCAAGCTGTTGCGAGCTGTTTCTGTTAACTGTAATTACAAGCAATTACAGAATCTTATATGACAAGTCCGCATGTTTGTCACCTTCTTTCTTATAATATAACGAACTTAATGTAGTCTAATTAAACATTATTGAACAAACCTGGTCATCGGAAGCACTCAAGATCCATGGATATTCATGATGAAAGAATGTTGTGCGGATGTAGTCCAAATGGCCCAACAAGGTAAACAGACAACGCCTCTGCTTGTAGTTCCATACCTAAAACCGTAAACAACATATTTAATTAATAATAAAACTCATCCTAATCTAGTCGTTACCACTATATTTTTTTTCTCTATAGTTAGACAGGCCCTAACATAATACAGTAGTTTCCAATTAGTAATTTAGTACTTTTACGCAATTGTCAAAAACAATATTTATCAATGAAATTTGTATGTAATCTCAAGTTGTGATGTCATTGAAACATTGTGAGAAAAAACCAAAAATATTATGTTAATTAATAAAGTGTTCTACCAATCAATGAAAAAATCAAAATAGGTTTGATTATTTCGCAATAATTTATTGTATTGTAATATTGAAATAATTGATTTTTGACCAAGGAAAGCACCTAATTATAGCATGTGTATGATTTATGGTAACTAAATTCTATGTTTTTTTTTACTTCAAATGATACTAATTTCTCTAGAATAATTCTTAAAAATGTAGCCTTTCAGTAACTACCAAAGTAAGTACCAAGTACTAAGAGTTTGTATCAGTATTTTCTTATCCTAATTAGAATTATTGTGGAATGACAACTGAAGACATTAACAAACATATGGAAAAAAGTTGCTCAGCACTTTTAACAGATTAAACTATCTTTAGAATTAGCATTATGTTTCTTCTTTGAGTGAGAGTGAGTTCTATGTTAGTTAGTTGGCTAGGTAAGTAGATTTGAATACTATCATTTCTAGTCTAATTTTCATTGTAAAGTAGTTAATTAGTTGAAAGGCTTCTTCATGTAATGACTGTGAATTCATGCCTAAGCCTAAGATTTGTGTTTTTAGACATGTTCTTAACACTGAGGTTAGTCTTGTTAGTTTACTACAACTAATATAGCTTACAGCTGTATATATGTTCAACTATGTAAGATAATATGTACAGGTGTTCTCATCACCTCTAGGCACACAAGTTTGCTTACACAAACATTCCTCTATGTACGTACAGAGTTAATATTAGCGACAAATTTTAAACGACACATCTGATATGATATACGTGTCATAAACATGACGAAACATATAAGAAACATTTGCACTGAAAATGCACATCCTGCTTACACACCTTAATCTTATAATCGTCCCCACCAGACACGAAGAGCGGTTGTTGAATGTGGAAGCATATTCCACGCACAGGACCGTCATGCTCATCAAATTTCTCCAACAAAGTACACATACGATAATCCCATAGCTGTATCACACCATTGTGTAAACTAGCCAAAACCCATGGCCGCTTCGCATGAAAGGATATACCTTTCACCCTCGCCGACTTAGTTTCAAACTTTGTAAGCATATCTCTAGTCTAATTTAGAGATATACGCGAAAAATCCCATAAAATAAAATCCTTCCACACAATCAAACGTCAGACAACCGGCTGACGTGACACGTCCAACAAAATTAGAGGTGACCAAAAGTAAAACTTTCAATAACATTAATATTACTATAAGTATAAAATAATAATTGTATTTATTTAACAAGTTAACAACGTAGAAAGAGCTGTATAGTTGTACAGCAATTTGATCTACTGAACTTTAAGTAAATTAGTTCTTATGAAATTATCATTAAGAGATTGGTTACCTATTTATCACAGATTTGTAATTCGTGAAAGCTATAAGGTTCTAGGGCTATTAATTTTGGAGAAAAGGTGAAGCTCTCTCTGAAGCAATGGATGAGAAGAACTGTTCATTCGTACTCCGAGTGACAATCATGATAATATTGGAAAACTAAAGCGATTTTGTAATAGATGTTGTAATAAATAGCATATTTATAATAAATAACAAAATAATTATCTTCTCAAGTAATTATCAACCATATAATAAAATAAAAACATGGTCAAATTATGGTTTTAACTATTAGTATGTATAATTTTGATTAGTCATACTAAAAAAGCAACTCGAAATAGAGGAAGGTAATACTCTAAATTTCTCATTCTCTATAGTCTCATATTGTCAAATGTCAAGTCAATCTTTCAAATTCAAATTTCAAACCAACTCGAAGTTGCTAAATTGTTTACTAACATAGTTTCACTTTTATTTTTTCCGTGTCCAGTGTAGTTGTAAATTTAATTAAAGTCGTTCATGATTAAATATAAAACATTGAACTTTATACAGTACCGACAACTTAATATAAATTCTTTGAAAATTACAAAAGATTTGAATTTACAGAATAAACATAACCTCAAAATTGTATCATGTCTTCAGAAAAGTTAAAAGAAACGGGAAAACTTTGTATACCAGGCATGCGCCTTAGTTTATCCAACAAAGAGTTCGTCTCTGGACCAGGAACATATGAACTTAGGGGCTATATTTACGCTACTTTGTGTGGAACTCTTAAAATGGAACTGGATGAAAATGAGGTTAGTTTGGTGTATATTCCCAATAAATATAAATGTGCGAAGAATATTTAGCTAATGTTCGTGTGTCAAGTCGATGTCGATGGGATACCTCAAAATGAGATGGGAAACAAACTAAATGAAAAATGTTTACAACATATCGACTATTAATTTGTCCCATAATCGTTTGTTAAGAGTTTCAATCCATAATATTTGTTTATATTTTTAGGTAACAGTAGTTTCAGTGGAAAGCCCTAGAACACCAAGTATTCTGCCTAGGACCGGAGATATAGTAACAGCTAAGGTGACAGTTGTGAACCCACGGATGGTCCAATGTGTAATACTATGTGTTGGCTCGTCAGTTCTAGTGAGGCCTTATAGAGGAATACTAAAAAAAGAAGATATTAAAGCTACAGAAAAGGATAGAGTTGACCCTTATAAGTGTTACAGACCTGGAGATGTGATCTTGGCAAGAGTTGTATCCTTTTTATGGCTTATTAGCTACTTCTGCACTTGGGCCTTTGACTCCAGTCTGAGGCCGCAGTGCCTCATTGCACTTGCCTTGCAACCCCGGCTGATCAGTCTGTGGTTGACTGTTGGCTCTTTGGGGCGCTAGTGGTTCAGGTTGGGCAGCAAGCTACCCTTACTCGCTGTCCTTAGACCCGTGTTTACGGTGGAAGATAAGCCTATACGATGACATACTACAGTCCCAGCCTAGACCAGGAGTATGAATGGTTAGGGTTTTACTCTAAGAGTGTGACACTCACCCTACCTAAATCAGAAGAAGTCCTTAGATGTCAAAATAATGTTTTTGATTGTTTTCACAATAAATGAATCAATATCTTGAATGTCAGTAACAAAAAAAATAATCATAATATCCTTAACAATAAAATTTAGCTACCTATGACGGAAATTCACTGGTACCATCTGTCTACAGCTGAGAATGAACTCGGAGTGGTTATAGCGACTGCGGAAGGTTCTCCCCAGGGTATCAGTATGCTACCTATAAGCTGGTCAGAAATGCAGTGTCCTAAAACATTAGTAAAAGAGTCCAGGAAAGTTGCTAGAGTCATCCCAGAAAACATTAACGAGGCATTGTTTCCAGTTAAAGATAATTCAACAACAGAATTGGAAATAAAACAAGATAAGTGAATACAAACACATTTTTAAAGTTACTCTTTTATTTATTTTGTTCCTACTTTCTTCCTGCTTCGTTGGTCGCGTGTTCGCTAGGGTAATTGAAACCGCGCAATAGTAGCTAGTATAGTATATAACCTAATCCGTTAATACCTATCCGATAAGCTCAAACATTTTCCGTCATTTGAACAGAACCTTAACCCTAATTTATGGAGACAAGGTACGTCCGCGTCATCGTGTGGTTTTGGTTTCGGTATTGTTCATTCTATGTTTATGTATGACGTGGCCAGACGGCCTGCTTCTGCAATATACGACAAACACACGACGGATCTACATAAATTGGCCTCGAGTGATCTTGTATCCAGACCCTGGGTTACCCATGCATAGATATTGTTGTTTTCTCCGTTTTTATGTCTCATAGAAGGTGGTCAATAACAAAGGCGTGATTCTGTTGCAAGCGCATACCTACGTATTTAACTACCTGGCGTGTATTTTGTAATTCACCTTTATAGTTTTAAAATTGAATTTTAAATTGAAAATTGTAACCTTGTGACATACGATAAAATCCTTTTAAACCGACTAAAAAAAAAAGTCAGGATATTTTTTTATGTGTGTTCACCGATTAAAACTCGAAGACGCCTGGACCGATTTGTAAATTTTTTTTTGTTCAGTAGTGTATGATTTCCAGGTGGTCCCATATTCACCAGGTTAGGAACATATGATGGAAACCCAGGAAAATCGAGGGGAACTTTGAAATTTTATAGGGATATTTGGCATGATTCATATATTTTCTGAAGTTATTCAGGTATTTACGTCAACTTGCCGATGGTTGAACTCGACCCGATGATGAATCCGGAAGACAGTCGAGGGATCTCTTTGACTATTTGGAGTAATGTTGTGTTTAAACTTAATTCCTTTATATTGATGAGAACTTTGCACCTATATGGATTATGTACCTATAGTGAAGGTATGCAGTATACCTGATGATGGAGACCATTGACAGTAGAACTCCTCAACGAACAACACTAAACAGTCTATCTAAGTCAGGTGATTTTCGGTCTCAAGTAGCCGTCGTCTTCTCATTCGAAAAGTATTATCCTTGCTTGCTTTGCCTATCACTTAAAATAGTGAAATAAAATATTTTTTTACAAAAAACAAAACTGTGTACAAAGTAATACATGTTTTCAATAGACCACCACAGACTGGGCTCTACGGGGCTGATGTTCAGCCGGGGTTACGGGGTAAGCGCTATGTGACACCGCGGCCTCGGCCTAAAGCAGGAGAAGGAACGGGGGTTTTTAGTCAGTAAGAGTCTGACACTCTCTCTCGTACTGCCCTGGACGGGAGAATTTTCATGGCGTGGCGGTCTCTCAGTCCGGCCTTATTCGACGCCACGGTAGAGGCGAGGAATTAGGAAATCATCACATTCTGCGAAATAGTCATACTCGCAAAGTTGGCGGAGTGGGTGAAGAAACTATCCTCATCACGCCTTAGCTGTCACCAGACCGCGCGATGGTCTTTGGCCAGAGTAAGCGTGGGTCTGCAGACGACGAGCAAGGGTTGCTCGCCGCCCCACCAGAACCAGAACCGATTATTGCACGACGCGTCCCGCGCGCATCAGAGAGCAATAAACATAGTCTGGCCATAAATACTAATAAACAAAATATTACATTTGAATTTGGAATCTGTCATTTTTATATAATTTTTCATTGTGTTTTCTTATTTTGGCGCCAATAAATTGTTCAATATTTTGCGATATTAAAATGGAGTGGGGTGATAAAGAGAACCGAATCGCTGTAATTGCATTACACAAAGTGGGTATGGAGCCAAATGCAATTTTTAAAACTCTCTACACGCTTGGCATTAGTCAAATGTTTGTGTACCGGGCTATTAATAGGTACAATGAGACCTCCTCTGTTTGTGAGAGAAAAAGATCTGGCCGTCCACGTAGTGTTCGTACGAAAAAGGTGGTCAAAGCAGTAAGGGAAAGAATTCGAAGAAATCCTGTCCGAAAGCAAAAGATTTTATCTCGGGAGATGAAGATAGCACCTAGAACCATGTCGCGTATTTTAAAAGACGACTTAGGACTTGCATCCTATAAGAGACGCACTGGACATTTTTTAAATGATAATTTAAAAAAGAATAGGGTGATAAAATCTAAACAACTACTGAAGCGGTACGCAAAGGGAGGTCACAGAAAAATTTTGTTTACGGATGAGAATAATTTTTACAATTGAGCAACATTTTAACAAACAAAATGACCGTATTTGTGCTCAAAGCTCTAAGGAAGCTTCTCAATTAGTCGACAGAGTGCAACGTGGGCATTATCCGACTTCAGTGATGGTTTGGTGGGGTGTTAGCTATGAAGGAGTGCCTGAGCCATACTTTTGCGAAAAAGGTATCAAAACATCGGCACAAGTGTATCAAAATACCATTCTTGAGAAGGTAGTTAAGCCCCTTAACAACACCATGTTCAATAACCAACAATGGTCCTTCCAGCAAGACTCGGCGCCGGGTCATAAAGCTCGGTCCACGCAGTCTTGGTTAGAAACGAACGTTTCCGACTTCATCAGAGCTGAAGACTGGCCGTCGTCTAGTCCAGATCTTAATCCGCTGGATTATGATTTATGGTCAGTTTTAGAGGAGGGCTTGCTCTAAACGTCATGATAATTTGAACTCCCTAAAACAATCCATACGATTGGCAGTGAAGAATTTTCCCATGGAAAGACTGCGTGCTTCTATTGATAACTGGCCTCAACGTTTAAAGGACTGTATTGCAGCCAATGGAGACCACTCCGAATAAGCATTTTATGTTTTAAATTGTTTTATATTTATGTATGAAACTTACATACTGTAAAAGTAATAAATGTTATTTGAAATAGAAAAAATCTTTTTTATTTGTTACAGTATTTATGGCTAGACTAGGTATAATGTACCGCGGCCGTGGCCCGGAGCTGGGAGAGTAACTCGCCAATTTGCCGATAAGACATTTCATGAATTTCCCAACTCAAAAGGTGCGCGCGATTCAATTACTGACTTAAATTTTAGACGATAACTTTTATCGCCTATAAACTTGTTTAGAATTACAGTTAGCATTACAAAACTCTTGTTAAGTGTTTAGCTGTACCCGTAAGTCTTTTGAAATCTTACCTATTTATATTATCCGTTTTGAACCTATCTACATGTTTGAATAAATAAATTATTCAGATTAAGAACTTGTCGAATACGAGTATTTGGTAACAAGAACCATATCTACCCACTTACCATAAAAAGATCAAGCAAAAAGAGGTAGGTTGAAATTCATACTTTAAAAAAAATCTCAAATACCTGCCAGTGTGATTTTTTTCGAGGATTGATGTCACTAATACCTTTGGTGAAGTAAAACATCATGAAGAAATTTGGACTTATAATTTCTTACTTCTAAACCATAGGTCAGAAATTGCCAATCGGCTTTGAGCAAGCACGGTGATAAACTCATGTAATGTTCGATCATTATCCGTGTGCCTTTGCTCACCAGTGCTGATGAATTTGTGCTATGTGCTGTTGATACGTCTGATTGTTTCAGGTTTAGGATGAAGACTCGTCAACTAATTATATTATTTTATCTCATAGCCTGTTTTTCTATTATTGTAAGTTTTTTGTTGATCTAGTTATTTAAGTAAAAGAAACACAACGCTGTGGAGTTACTTTAGCGCCGGTTTTCTGCCGACCCATTCGTGCCTATGAGTTATGGATACGAATGAATTATTTTGAAGCACATTACTTTATGGAGGTCTATTTTACCTTTTACTAGGTTTTACCTGAATTTACTTGAAAACTCATAGGTGCCTCGAAAGTATTACGTGCAAGGCCGATGGCTGGTTTTGGATGTAAACTTGAGAATTGTGGGAATGATTGAACACGATTACGCCTCCTGTTTTCTGAAACATATGGCTACACACGAGAGCGAGCATTGTCTTACAACGGTTTTCTTTGAGGCCGTGGTATCAATCCGGGCGAATCGGCACATTTGTGCCAAATCACGGCTTTACTTACGATCCCATAATTTATATTAGATCCCAATTATAAGTGAGTATTGACAGCTTTGAAATAATTGATAATCACTTTTTTTATTATTTGTTTCAATTAGATGGTGAGTACCTCTCAATACATGCCTTAAGTAAATTGAATCGCCCAAGTAAATATTTTCTCAAGTCCGTCCTCGGCTCCATATGACCCTCCGTCGCCTCACGGCTCGGGCCTCAATCCTCTACGGTAACCACCAACATTGCACCCTTGTCCCATAATGTTCTATTACATATCTAAAGGATATTTTTATTGAACAAAACGAATAGTAGGTACCTATACCTAATCTCATACCATATCAGAATCGTAAGAAATATCAGGTGAGAGCACTGCGTAAGACTATTAAATGAATAAATTAATAAAGCCTTTGTTTTATTTTCCATTTACAAACTTTTAGGGCGACGACGTAAGTGTCTTCAATATTTAAGTAATCACTGCGAGAAAAATTATAGACTTTTTAGTATCTCTAAGAACCTAACTAGGTACCTAATTAGAACTAGGGCACCATTGTTCTAATAAATACTTAATGATAGTGTATAAAAAGAAAGACATAATGAATTACACTTCTCGACACATCTATTGGTCCACCTTAGAGTTAAAGGCAATTAATTTTCGAATAAAAAACATGTTTTGATCAAATAAAGGTTTAATTTCATAACGCGTGTTGCTTCCATGGGCATCTACCCCAGCTCTCATACGATTAGGCATAGAGTTTATCAACCGCTCTATGAAATTTTGATTATGCTGACGGGTCCCACGTGTGCTCAATGGGGTTCATGTCTGGGTTTCTGGCTGGCCAGTTCAGAACTGTAATGTTCACATGCCGAAAATATTCCCTGACGATGCGCCCGCATGGGCTCTTGCATTATCATGCATAAAAAGGAAATTTGGGCTCACATAGTCCGCGTATGGTATCACGTGAAGATCTCAGCACCCACGAATGTACCTTTCAGCATTTAA